CACCTCCAGGTTCGAGAAGCTGCTGCTCTATGGGGGACCCCAGTTCCAGGATGCGGCATCTCAACGTGCCCACTATTTGGAGAGTCTGAAGCCTGCCCTTAGGAAGCAGTTGAGCATGCTGGCATGGAACATTCGGGAGGAGATTTACCAGGCGGCTCTTCGGATAGAGAGGGCTGACACAACTATGCATGAAGAAGGGATACAGCGAGAGGGAAGCAAGAGAAAGGCAAGTAGCATGCCAGAATGGTCCGGCCAGCCCAGTCAGTACAGAAGGAGGCTAGGCGGTACCGTTAGCTTTGAGGGTACTTAGAGTCAAACCGGCTCGGTCCGCCCTGGTCAAATTTTCAGCAACAGAGGTCTCTGCAACCAATGTGGGCGGGATCACTCAGGGGAGTGTAGGCAGCCCCCAGGGTCTGCTATAACTGTAACGAGCCTGGGCATTTTGCCAGAGAATGCCCTTGGAGAGGCGGGCAAGGGATGGCTCAGTCCGAGCAGTCTGTCCGTGGGGGTGGAGCGAGGACTCACGCAGGATCACGATTTGGCGGCCAACCAAACCGCTCTTTCCAGAGCCAGGGAGGACGCACTTGGCGCTTCGACCGCACCAATCGGGACGGAGACCGGGGGCCTCCAGCAGGAGGACAACCGAGGGTTTTTGCCATGCGAGGGATAGAGGGAGATCGTGGTGACGATGGAGGGGACGAGCTAGCACATTGATGTGATCATGTGAAGAAATGGGGAGACTGTGAAGGAGTATTTGCTTTAAGCATAGACCGCTAGTTGGTTGTTTTCTTCGTAAGACGCACTTTCAGTTTTAGTACTCGGTACCAAACCTATTAAATAAGTTCGGACCAAAATTTCGAGGTCGAATTTTTTTTTTTTTTAAGGATGAGGGAAATGTTATATTCTACTTGAGAAGTTTTAGTCAAACACCAAAGTTTTAGACCAAGAAATTATCTTTCTAGTTCTAAATTTCGGGGACGAAATTTTTGTAAGGATGGAGGAAATGTAACACCCCGGTATTTTAGATTTGGGTTCGACCTTATTTTATGAGCAGTTAGGTTAACGGTACGTACTAGGAGTTACAACCGCGGATTAAAATAATAATATTATAATAATATTATAATAATATTACTATTATTATAACATTACTTAAAAAAAACATTTTAGCCTCGGGGCCGAGCGGCCCCAAAAACCCTTCCCACCCCTTTATTTCCCCACGCCACAAAGAAAGAAACCCCCTGCAATTTACTTGTTCCCCAGCGCATCCCACCGCCGCCCTGGCCGCATCCCCATCGCGGGATAGAAGAAAAAGGAAGAAGGTCGCCGCCTTCTTGTTATCGACCCTGATCCCGACCCTGACCCCTTCCCTTTCGTTCTAGGTAAGGATCACGAACTCTTTCGTGATTTCTAAACTCGATTTATCGATAGTCTAATCCGAAACTCGTATTTTATTAGCGGTATCGTTGAGGGTTCGATCAACAAGGGGATCAACGTCCCGGGTCATCCAATCTAGGCCTAGGCACGTCCTAGAGGCAAGGGAACTCGATTCCTTTGAGTTAGATCGATCGATTTGGTGATTTTTCATGAGGATGCAATTCTGGGTTTTTAGCAACAGGCGTTACAGGCTTTTAGTGACAGATTTTGATTAGTCACTAAAGCTGCTGGGAATTTCCAAAAACGTATTTTTTAGATGTTTTAAATTATTTCGAGCCTCTCTAAAGGATATTTTCTGAATTTAGAAATTTTGTAAATTGAAAGACATCTAGGAGATAATTTTAATTTAATTTGGGGGTTTTTGGAGATGTATTTCTATTTTTAGAAATTGTTCTAATATTCGTTTTAATTAAATAAAAAATCTTTCCGAGGGGATTTTAAGGGTTTGATAATTTTCCAGGGTATAAGTGCTCATGATGGACATGGGAAAATTATTATTCGAATTTTTAAGAAAGTTCTAGTTAGGTGGAAAATTCGTCCAAGACTAAAATAATTAAGAAAAATGGTCGTTTTTAAGGGATTAATTCTAGAAAATTTTAGTGGGGGTTAAAGGACCCTTGGAATGAGGTTCAAGGACTAGAGTTTGAGGAGAGGATGTTCTAGTGTTTCAAAAGGGGTTTTAAATCAAGAAAGGTCGTCTAAGAAATGGATTCTTATTAATAGGTTTCCCCAAGATAATCCGGCTAAGGAGGGGTTTCTTCGAGGAAAGAATTGAGGAGTCATCTTTTCGAGGTGAGTGTAAAGGGGGTAAAATCTCTGTCGTAGGTCTTTTAGTTTTCGCTTTTCGTTCAAGTTATTATTTAGTTAATTTTTCTAGTATGCGCGATAATGTGTGTGAGGCATCCCACCTCCTGTAAGGATGGAGGCACGCGTTGTGATATGTATGAATATATGATTGTAATAGTTGGTTAATGGTAAGAGGAACCCCCGGGCGGTTGGGCCACTACTGGACGCGGTAGATGGTCGGGTCACTGCTGGACGGCGAGACGTAACACAGCAGTTGATCGAGTATGTTGTGGCACTACTGGACGGCGAGACGTAACGCAGTGCCATTGCCGAGTTTGGTATGCAACCGGACGGCGAGACGTAACGCGGTTGGCATACGAGGGTAGGGACACCGGACGGCGAGATGTAATGCGGTGGTCCTAGTGTTTTGTGTTTGAGTTAAGGATAGAAGGTGAGCACTCTTAGGAGTTAATGTTGAATTGAGTTGGTAAGGATGATTATTTAAGAGCAGAAAGCGAGAACGGCTTTCATGCTAGGAAGGCATTCCCCTAATAACGTTTTTAGTAAGGAGTTTGCCTAAGGCAAAGACCTTAGGGAGTAACGACGAGACTGACCCCTTCTCACTCACCAGGTGCATAAAGGGGAAGAAGACGCATCCATCAAGAGGAGATTACCCGAGGAGAGCAGTCGCGGCTAACCTGAAGATGTCAACAGGATCTGGGTAACGAGATGGGACCTCCCATTTTATTTGTCTTTAGTTTCATGTCTTAATGAGTATACTGGGAAACTCAAGGGTGGTGTTTATGTTTTGTTGTTCTGGGTTGAGGTCGCCCAAGTGTTTAGGGCATTTCACTTGAAAATCTTAAGCATTGTGGTTGTTGACTTTTGGTTTTGACTTGTAAACCGTTTTGGGTTGCTCCGGAGTAACCAGTTTGTGGTTTGAGTTGTGGTTTGGTTTTCAAAAAGGATCGGGTCGTGTCATTACTACCCCTAGGCTTAGTGTGGGGTTCAATGGAGGGGTCGTGGGGTATTTTGTTGCTAAAAAAGGTCTGCGTCAAGGGGATCCACTCTCCCCTTATTTATTTGTTGTGGCAATGGAGGTTTTCAGTTGCCTTATGGAAGAACCAGTCAATGAAAATAGATTGCCATTTCACCCTATGTGTAAAAGGGTTGGTTTAACTCACTTAATGTTTGCTGATGATTTGTTGTTATTCTCTGATGGGTCTAATTATGGTCTTTAATGTATTCAGAGAGTTCTGTCTGATTTCAGAAATCTGTCAGGGCTTAAGTCTAACCCTTCCAAATGTGAATTATATTGTGGGGGTTATCACAGGAGTGGAAAGAGAGTATGGCTGCTTATGCTGGATACAAGTTAAGTTCTCTTCCAGTCATATACCTGGGGGTCTCTTTAATCTCAAACAAACTCACAGTCAAAGCTTGTCGTCCTTTGATAGATAAACTGCTGAGTAGAATACAAAACTGAGGAGCAAAACTTTTGAGTTATGTTGGGAAGCGTCAACTGGTGATGTCTATTCTTTATAGTTTAGTCCAATTCTGGATGTTGATCTTTGTTCTCCCAAAGAAATGATCAAGGAATTTGAACAACTTTGTAGTAACTTCTTGTGGGGGGTTGGCTCTGAAGGTAAACTTAGAGCAAATGTAGAATGGAGTAGAATCTGTTTCCCTAACAAAGAAGGAGGCTTGGGTATCAGAAATCTTGCCAGTTGGAATCATGCTTTTGTTGTAAGACACATATGGGATCTCCTGTTGCAGGAAGGATCTCTTTGGGTGGCTTGGGTGACTGAATATAGATTGCACCATGTTGACTTCTGGACTGCAAATGGTAAATCAGGCTCTTGGATCTAGTTGAAAATATTGAAGTGCAGGGGACAAGTTCAGGGGCAACTCTCGGTTATAAATGGAGTAGGTTCTTGGGATGGAAGGGTGCAGAAGAAGTTTCCACTAAAGCAAGTATGGGAGTTCTTTCGCCCTAAGCTTTCTGTAGTGGAATGGTATAAATTGATTTGGAATCATCCTGCTATCCCTAGAGATCAATTTCTCTGTTGGTTAATCACTAAAGGTTATATCACTACAGGGGATAAGCTTCTGAACTGGGGTACCAGGGGAGCTTTAAGTGCGTCTTTTGTGATGCTGGAGTTGAATCTCATAATCATCTATTTGCTGAATGCTGCAGATATAAGGATCTGTACCTATGTTTGTTTTCAAAGTTCACCAGTAGGCCCCCATCTAACAACTGGGGAGAAGAGCTATAGTGGGTAGTGACTGTTTTTTCTGGTTCTAGTGCAACTTGCAGAACTGGGAGGCTTCTATGGCAATCTCTCCTTACTGGCATTTGGCGTGACAGATGCAATGCAAAGCATGGGAAACCCATTTTGAGCTTGGAAAAAGTGCAGAAGAGGGTGAAGAGTGATCTGGAAGTGCTGTGTGTTGCTGAAGATTTGGAGGTGTTCTAGTGAATGTGAATTATTGGTTATGCTCTTGTTTTTTTTATCTTGGCTTAGATTTCATTAATAGTGTTGCAGTAGTAGAAGTGACCTAGTGGCAAGGGTTGTTGCCACAAGTACAATCTTTTGATGAAATATATCCTTACCATTCATAAAAAAAAAAACTGAAACACCAATACGAATGCGCCGCCCAACGGGCGGGTAAAAAGCTAGTTCTATAAAATATGTTTGCATTAGAAAAACAATCAAAAAGTTTTAAAAAGATTAATATTTCAAAAAAAAATATTATAAATACATTGAATACTTCAAAAAAATATTAACTTTACCATAAGAATTAGCCATATCACATAATGTTTACTTCCTTGGTAGTACACGCAGATTAATTATCGAAATTGAATTCTTTTGCCCCTTGGAAAGTTGAAAATGAAGAAAGTTAAAACAACAAATTTGATAATGATAATAATGAGGTATCATGAATTACCTCTTTTGTTCTATTTAGGAAACAAACGACAAAGAATAAGTTATGTTATATGTTTGAAAAAAAATTAATAAGAAAACAAGCATTCGCCTCATGTGGTTCGTTTGTTCCTTTAATCTTCAGACTTAAATATTTTGTTATTGTTTTAGAACTATAATAAAAACCCAATTCATACATTTTCTATCATTTTAAATTTATAATCAAAATCTAATAATCTGTAATAATGATTAGTCATATAAATAATGGAGGTCCGGAGGCCCCCATAATTTGGAGGTCTTGTGCCGAAGGGCCGGCCGGGGACACCTTCTGGGCCGACCCTGACGATAGATTGTAATTCACTTTCATTACGAGATGCAAGTTTTATGGAACTGATTTATGTATTTGTAATGGCGAATTAATAATGTCAGTCCTCCCTATTTCGATTATCTATTTGTAGTAGTTGCGAATTATTTAATTCAGTTTCTCCTGGTATAATGTAGGCTTCATATCTAATTAGTCTGTTTTTTTTTTTTGCCATAGTCATCCTCGAAAGAGAGAAATATAAATACGACAAACAAAATCTAGTATGACCAAGCTAAAAATTTGAAATAAGAAAAACACGATAATCTACAAGTATCGAACCATCGCTCCAAAAACTTATTTTACCACGATCTAGGCAGTGTCTCCGGTAACCCTATTTCAAGTTTCAACTAGGAAAAGGTATATCTAGGTTTAACCTTTTTTTTTTTTTTTTTACAACTAGGTTCTGAATTTCTGATTTTATTAGACGAGATAAGTGTGCAACTCTCGAGTCTTTGCCCCACTGATACACGCCGCCGTTCTCCAGTCCTCATCGCCTTCCCTTTCAGAGCGCCTGGCAATCGAACCCCCTGTACCGGCGGTCAATCCAAGCTATGAACAACGACAATGCCTATGGAAAAAGGCGTCGCGCAGAAGAAGAAGAAGAAGCCAATGATGCTACTACTGACAGGTTAAGCCATCTTCCAACACTCATTCTCCATCACATCCTCTCGTTCTTGAAAGATACCAAATCTGTGGTTCGAACCTCGCTGCTGTCCCGGGGTTGGAGAAACGCCTGGAAACAAGTCCCTGTCCTCGAATTCCATCGCAGTTCCTTTCGCCGAGCTACAGAGTTCGACGGTTTCGTCGACAGGGTTTTGTCCCTCCGCCGCGACCTTAATCTCAGCAAGGTTGTATACGACGATACTCGCCTTAGCCCAGAAACCCCGCGCATTCGAAAATCCGACATCATCGACAAGCAAGTGAAAGTCATCAACTACGCTCTGTCCCACGATGTTCGACATTTAGTTGTTCGGAGCTGGGAAGCCAATGAGAGAGGTCTACCCTGCGATTTCAGCTCGATATTCCCCGCGTGCTGCAACAATGGTAACGGGAATGATTGTACAAAGAAGAAGAAGACTGATCATCTGAAAACTCTGGACTTGAAATGGATCGACCTGGATCCAGGATTCGTAGCCTGCTCTGTTTTCCCAATGCTGACGACCCTGAATCTGGAGAGGTGCGAGTTCGGCGCAGAGGGCCTTATTCTTCCTGCCAGCATTCCGTTGCTGACAAATTTGGCCATCACAAATTGTCGCCCGAAACAAGAGGCGGCAACGAGGAGGACCACCAAGGTGTACGGACCGCACTTGCTTACCCTGAAGCTGAACGGCGGGATGGGAGGCTGCAAGATTGAAGTATTTGCACCGAAACTCGAATCCTTCACTCTGCTTCAGGACGTGACATCCGAAGGGTTCTTCAATACGACCTTTCCTGCTCTGGATCGTGCGGATGTTGCATTGACCGAGGGTCATTACTGTACCAAGCCACGGGCAGATCACTATTTGAACTCCCTGTTCCAAGTTTTGTGTAATGCTAAGTCTTTGAAGCTGGATCGCAACGCCTTCCAGGTAATGCTTTTTTAAGTTCTATAACGCGATTTTGGACTACATTGCTTATATGCTTGAACTCCTTATTCCAACTTTGTCTGTGTTTTTGGTCTCTCCAGATACTGAACAATAGGTGTGAGTTTCTGGAACAACAGCCGTCAACCCATTTTAAAAGGTTGGAGTCCTTGATTTTGCCGCCCAACAATCGAATCATAGACTACTTTGCAAAAGCATCTTCTTGCGAAAAACTAAATATCTGTAGTGGGAAAGGATAATGTTTTTGTGATTTCAGGTTGTTTCTTTACTAGTTGGATACATTCCTAGCTTATGGGATATATTTCTACAATTTTTTCTCTTATTTAGGTAGCTTACTGGAACTACTCTGCCATTGCTTGTCTTTCTCCTCATATATTAAAAGAAAACATTTGGTATGATTTACTTTATAATTTTTGGGAGAGGCGAGTTTTGTACTATATATGGTGTGCTTTCTAATTTTTTATTTGATTATGAAGTTTCTGGTCTACTTTATAGATTTTGTGGTGATTAGTCTGTGTTTCTGGTCTTTCTTTATAAAAGAAAATGAGTACTCAAATGATATTTAAGCCCACTTATTAAAAGTAACAAGACTAAGAAAGTTAAAGTGATTTAGGCTTGGGAAAGAAAATAATAGGCTTAAGCTTTTGATCCTAATATGCTCAACACCATCTCCCAAAACTAATTACAAAGGTTGATGTATGTCCAATAAAAAGGCGAAATAAGAATTTAGATTAAATGAAAAAAACATCACCATAAAAATCTATTAAACTTTATTATTCAAAGCACATGCAAAGAAAATGACACGAGACCATTATCTAAATATCTCTCAACATGTTGAGTTACTAAAACGAATTATATTTCAATATAATATAACATTACATCGAGATGTCTCGTATTCACATCATAGCGATCCTCAATAATAATGGCTGATTTACAACGCTAGACCAGTGCTTACCTGTTAAACCCATGGATTCAATTGTTGTTTGAGATGCTTTATAACAAATTGGTTTCCTGGCTTTCAGTTTGACCCAGTAGTGTTACGATTGGAGTCTTAACAAGTCATCCAACCAAATATGATCCCCCCGCCCAATTATTGCACATTCAGAACTTCACCTTCTCCTTCAGGTAGCTCACAATCTCTTGCTGCAAAATCAAAGAAGACACTCCTGTTTTCAGTAGAGTATCTACAACACACAAAGTAAAGGATACGGGACATGTTTCTTTGTCTACAAAGCCAGTATGACAAAGAGCTGCAAGAATGGCTAGCCCGACTTACAATGAAACAGAGGATGAGGCAGCCAGCTGCACCAGGAAACAGAGCATACCAGTAATTCAAGCTATGGAGTTTCACCCCATCGATGAAGAGAAGGGGCAAGCTAGCCGCTACATTATCAAGAGGAATTCACCATGAGATCAATTACGCACACCATCAAGCTTCAAAATAGTGATGATAACGATGACAGTACCAGGCGGATGGGTGGATCTGGTGTAGATCATGAAAGCAATGGAGGCAGCCAGAGCACTACTCCTCGCTAGCCAGCCCGGGCCGAGGAACGAGAACGCCAGAACCCCAATTGCGGCGCAGCCGATTTGGGCCATGAACATGTTGTACTTCTGCAAGTTTTGTTAAGACGATGATGCTGAGTCACATCTTCACAAAAGGAAAGGCAGCAGTAGTAATCAAATCAGTAGTCTGAGATTTAAGGATATACCCTGGCGGCGGGAGATGAAGGAGCGGTAAAGAGGACGGCGCAGACGGCGCCAAATGGAGCAATTGTGATTGTTACCCCTTTGGGCGCGATCATTTGATCCACCTTCCCTAGTATCGCCATTGCCGCAAATGCCCCTGCAAAGGTGCTTCAGAGGGTCAAATGTGGATTTCTAACCTATCGTTTCGATTGAAATTTGTTGGGTTAAGAAGGGTACCTGCAGAAGGCCAAAAGATGTCGCTGAGGGGAACAGAAGGGGATTTGTCGTCGGGCTTCCAAGCGTCCCACCACGCCACATTTCCGGCCGCTGCAGACACCGCCACCGCGAGAGTACTATTCCTTCTCCGCCGCCCATTACTGCTGCTCCCGCTCTGCAAGTTCAAGGATGGCGTCCTGTAGTGGGTTTTCACGGGGAACAGAGCCAGAGGCTGGAACTTTGGCGAACTTGGCGGCGTCGAGTGATGCAGCAAAAAGTAGGTATTGTGAAATTGAAGGGTTGGATGGGTGGCCATTTTGGGGGGCAAGTAAGATTATGGGATTTTCTCCCCCTTTCCAGTCAGAGTAGAACTCGTCGTCGGATCATTGGTTGCGGAGTTGATGGATGCATAATACAGCCAATTTCAACCCCTTGGGATTGGAGTATTTTAAGCGCGGAAATTGGGATGGGGAGGAGGAGGCAGAAAGGAAAGGTTCGTGGCTTTGGGTTTGGCTTTTGGAGAGGTGGAAAGGTTACCGGTTGTCTTTTGGCAGGGGTGGGTGATGATAAGGAGCCTGCGACTCTGCCGCCTCCCTAGCTATCCACTTGTTCCCGTGTCTTTTGCCTCTTAGATATTCTTAAAAACATTGCTCATGCAAAAAACGGAGTTATATTATTTTGGTGGCAAAGGTTTCCAATTGTACGTGGGCACCGTGTCGTGCCGCCCACGGGCTAGCACGAGCACGAAATAAATGGGCTAGTTCGGCACGAGCACAAATAATTTATAGGCCGTGTTGGGCCTAAATTTCATGGACACGGGCACGACACGGTATATAAGTGGGCCGTGTCGTGCCTAATATTTTCTAGACTTTATTGAATAAAAGAACGGACATGGTACCAAAAAAATATTTATTTGATAGAAAATAAATATGAAAAGAATTATAGGTTCAAATATTACAAAACATAAGTAGAAAAATAATTATTTGTTGTTGTTAGAAGTGTTATAAAGATATATATGTAATTACTAACATAAGTAAAAATGGACAAAGAATTAAACAAAGCCAAATCACACTCGCTATACTTCCAATTTTCTTTTCCCGCTTATTTGTTACTTTTCTCAAACATTATCGGTTAATACTATCTTCCCCCGTCCAATTTTCACCTTCTTTTTCATTCTCTCATTTGTTTTCGTCATTTTCATTAAACACGAATACGAGCATGGCACGAGCACGAATAGGCACGGCACGATTCAAACCGTGCACAGGCCTGGGCCGGGCCTAGCAAAATTAACAAATGGGCTTGCATGTCACGGCACGAAAACTGACGGGCCATGCCAAGCACGACACGAAATAAATGGGCCCGAAGCGTGCTCGTGCCGCCAACGCCCATGTACATTTCCAATTCATATCTAGTTGTTCTCTTCTGGAAATATTTTTAACAAAAAAAAATTGAGAGTTATAATTCGTTCAAAATGTGAAGTGTATTTTGGAGGTACCTCTGTACTGTATAATCCACTGCTCTTCTGCTCTCAGGTTTCCAAGAGGGTAAACTCCCTGTCCGATACTTAGGACTACCTTTGATTACTGGAAAGTTATCCTCAACAGAGGTGGCTATACTGGTGGAAAAAATCACAAAACGAATCAAGTCCTGGCGGGCTAAAAAACTTTCTTATGCTGGAAGATTGCAGTTAATTAACTCTGTTTTGATGGGGATAGTGCAGTTTTGGATGCAACTCTTTGTTCTTCCTAAAAAAGTGCTGAAGCAAGTGCAGAAGGTATGTTCCCAGTTCCTATGGCATGGCAGTGATGAGGGCAGAGCAAAAGTTGCTTGGGAGAAACTAGCTTTTCCGAAGAAAGAGGGTGGATTGGGAATTAAGGACCTTCAGGCCTGGAATGTAGCTAGCACTGCTAGAATGCTCTGGCTGTTTCTTATCATATCTGGGACTCTCTGGGTGGCATGGATGTATGAATATAAATGCAAACATAATGATCTGTGGGCAATGAAACCTCAATATAGCAGTTCCTGGACCTGGAGGAGATTGCTTAAAATTCGAGATCAGATTAAACCTTGGATGCAGCAGAGAGATGGTATTTTCTATTGGGGGACGACAGTAATGCAGGTATACTCTGTGCGTTTGGTGTGGGAATCCCTGCGTAATAAGCAGGCAGAGGTGCCATGGTTCAGACTCGTCTGGAGCAAGTTTTGCCCCCCTCGGTTTAGCTTTATAGCTTGGCTGGTTGTACGCAATGCCATAGTGACGAGAGATAAACTACTGAGCTGGAGGAAAATCACAGTTGCTACTTGTCCATTATGCACATATCCAATGGAGTCCAGGGATCATCTATTCTTACATTGTTCCTTTGTTCGTCGTTTTGTCTCATGTTTGAATTGCAGATTGTTTACTGCTGGTGATTGGGATACAATGCTAGCTACAGCTTGCTCTGTTGTTCGATCCTCAGGAAGAATGAGTTGGCACGGAGTAATGTGGTGTATGGTGCTCACTTATATATGGCGCGAGAGATGCAAAATGGTACATGGGGGCGCAATCCCAGACCCAGAGAAGGTAGTTGCACATCTGCAAGCGGATCTGCAGTATTTAGTCGCTGGAAATGTTGCGTGGCAAGGGGACCTGACACATTTGGGATATCTTTAAAGTTTGTTTGTTAGTTCACAGTTTTGGGGGTGAGGGCATAGTCTGAGATACGTAGAACGTGATAGTATTTTTGTTCTGTTTTGCTTTGACACAAAGCTTTAACGCTTTGTCTTTGCTGTATTGGTTTCCTTTTTTGCATCAATAAGAGAGAAACTGATTCAACGAAGAAAAAAAAAATTGGAGTTCAATCATGGTTCATTTATTTTATGGCGATTCTATGGTGCCGTGACGACATCCGTGCCGGCATTATATCTTGCCACTTCAAGCAAATGAGGATTGATTCCAAATCATTGGTTTCGATTGGATTAGATAATAAACACATAAAATAAAAAGATCGACTTCCTTGATTTCCAAGTAGTTTATTACTTGATTCGCATATTCTTGAGATTTGTTGTTTGATACCTGCCATATAATAATATGGGAGTTGCTAAAGATCGCCCTTAAAATTGCTAAAGATCATTCTAAAAAATATCAAAGTTACAATTTTAATCCTTTAACTTTTTGACCTTTCTTTTTAGCAAACAAACAACACATAGACTAAGGAAAGAAAAGAAACGCTATCCAATATATATATATTTTTTTTTTTACCGGAAACTCTATCCAATAAGAGGGAAGGAGAGAAAGAATCCATTTATATTAAATTTATATTATTATAAATTATAATATTTAATTTACATATAAATAAATAATTAAATTACATAATTTATTATATATTTAAATAATTAATTAACAACAGAAATTAAAATTGCAAAATAAAAAACCAACTGCGGCCAACATGGGGTTTGACTGCCAGCCAACCGTATCAACGTGAAGTTGGTCCATCGGCCGACCGCGATTAACGTGCGGTTTGACCGATGGTCCGACCGCTCGTTGATTGCGGTCGGTCGATGGTTCAACCGCGCGATGACTGCGGTCGGCCGATTGACCAACCACGCATTGACCGCGGTTGTCCGGCTAATCAACCGCACTTCGGCTGCCGTCGAGGTTCTCCGACAATGACTGTCGCGAGGGTAGGAAAGCGGATGGGCGGTGACAACGATAGACGACAGGAAAGGAGAGCAGATGGTCGGCGACGTGCGTGGACGACGATGGTCGTTTGGTGGTTGGTCGACTGGTCGACTGGGGGTGTCGAGGACAGGTTGGTGGTGGCGACCTTTCGCTTCTGCCGGTCGTCTTCTCCGACGATGGAGAAGGCCAACGACGGGAGGAGGGTGCCGGTGGAGGTGAGAAGACGACAGAATGGAGGTGGGTCGCCGGCAAGGAGTTGTGGGAAGAGATAGAGTCTCGTAGGGTTTATTAGGGGTTGTTTGTTTGTTTGAATTTGGAAATTTAAGTTAGGGGTATATAGGTAGTTTAATATTTAAGTTAGGGCGATCATAGCAATTTTAAGGGCGACGTTTAGCGATTCAGAATAATATTATCAATGGGTGGTCAATAGGGGTAGGTCGGGGGAATTTTGATCATAAAATGCACCCACCCGCGCTTAAATGGATTGATAATTTTTAACCCATCACCTACCCACATTTAGTCTCGGGTTGGGTCGGGTGGATGGTGGATGATGCGGGTGGGTTTGTAAGTTCACCCACATCACTATATATATATATAATATAAAGGAGTCAACTTGACATGATAATCGGTGGAGAGAGTTATCGGACGGAAACAAGAAGATGTAATATGTGAAAAAATTCGAATTAGTTCTGAAATTGTATAGTAATTCTATTATGGAGGAGTTTTCTACAATGGAGATGATTATCAAATGCAGGAAACTAAGGAAAATTATTCAACGGAGGAAAAAGAGGTGATCTAGACTCAAGCATCAGAGGAAAAAATAAAGGGAAGAAGAGGGGATTGCTATTTGGAATGTTGGCTTTGAGGTTCAATATCCAGGAGCAGCCCTAGTTTCCGTCTAACGTCTCCCCTCGAGGGCCAACAACTTTGTTCTTTTTGTTGTTGGGTTGAGCGGGTCACCCGCCCACACCCCACCCGCCACTCGATGGATGGCTCTCAGCGCAACCCATCACTCACTCACAGACCCACCCACATAACGCAATTCGGGTCAAATGCGGATGGGTTGGCGCAAACCACCAGGTGATCCGCCCGCATGGCCAGCCCTAGTGGTCAATCATTTTAATTTGGGTTATGATTTAATTTGTAGATCAGGAAACAAAGTACACATTAATTCAAGGGGTCGGGATTGGAATTAAATTTCAAATATTATTTGGTATAGAAATTATGGAAGTGGGATCAATATATATTGAAATATAAGCTAATGCACATTTTAACAGTTCCAGCTAGCTCTTCATTGACTGTTTGTCACTCTCAAACACCAAAATGACCACTTAGTTATAAATAGGGTTGATTGCATTTTATATCTTTTTACTATTACAAATTAACAGATGTACACTTTTACTATTATTTTGTACGAACATGTTCTTCTAGTATTATAACGGAACAAATGTACCCTTTCGTTACTAATTCTGTTAATTAACCGTTTAAATTGCATGAAAATGACTATAATGTCCCTATCTCTTAATTAATATACAATTCATTCCCAGGAAAAAAATAGAATTAAGTAAATAAATTATTATTTATTTTAATAATCTTTACCTTTTCCTGTTTCCATGGACGAATGCACCCAACTCCGATTATTACTCTTGGCAAGAGTAACACACAAATCCTACTCAGTAAATACTCCGTTAATACACGTATATGTACCCGTACGTACTTTATTCGTTTAAAACTTCTGTATCCGTATTATTGTCAAGCTGATTTATTTTTCCCCGTTCATTTTATGGCTCCCGTACTAAACACGTATAATACTCGTATAACACTCTAATATCCGTATTTAATGAATTAATCTATTAACTTTACTATTATTTATATATTTATTATTTATAAAATAATTAAATTATATATATTTATGACTATTAACGTACAATTAAACATAGCATTAGCTTAGACACGAAGTAAAATACCCGTACGTATATTATACGCAACTTTCCCGTACCATATTTTACTAACCATGATTTCCATCCTCAATAACTCCGGCGACGAGCAACTCCTCCACTCTCGTATCGCGAACCCTCTCCACTATATCCCATTATGGAACCTTTTTTTTTTTTTTTTCAAAACCCATAAATTTCAAGAAAATCAGCTACACTTATAATGCCTTTTGGTTTGCTGGTGACATGGGAATTACCAATTTCGGTAGATCTCAATGCAAGTGAAAGGTATTGTCTCCTCAATCCGGACTTCATCGTTCCATTTGGATAGAAGAGAGAGGCCGTTCCACCAAAAAAACATAAAGAAGAAGGGACCGTTGTTGATGAAGAGGAGAAGCGGGCTTGCATAAGTTCAAGTCCTTAAACCACCTTTTTAAGGAGGATATTAAAGCGTTGTGATTGGTTATTGTAATTTTAAGTAGTTAGTGATAAGTTATTAGTTAATTAATTGTTAAGGGTATTTAGAGAATTATAAATAAATATAAAATTTAACCTAATTAAAACTATTAACATAATAACTCCCGCCACCTTCTCCTTTAACCCAATTCAACTGAGCCTTCTCTCTCCTTCAACCGGTCGGCGCCTCAACTTCCCCCGCTACAGGTCGTCATTCCGGTCGTCAACTCATCCGCTATAGGTTGTCGATCCACACTCCGTTCCGTTGCAGGTCGTTGGTTGGTAGTCACCCACGTTGGATTGGGTCCGGTCTTCGTCTCACTGCATGTTGTTGGTTGGTCGTCCCTCGCGTTGGGTCGTTGAACGGGTCTCCGTCCCGTTACAAATCGCTGATTGGTTGTCTCCCCGAGTCGGGTTGTTGGTCGGGTCTCCGTCCCCTCTGTTGGCTGGAGTTCTTCGTCGACCGGTGTATCACCTATCATCCACTTCCCCTCCGCTACTCGTTGCTTTGTTGGCCAAGGTAAGTTTCTAAGCCTATTTTGTGTTTGTAATTATTAACTAAATAGTCTTTAGTTTTAATTTTATAGATGACGTTAGTAACTTTGAAAATACCTTCATCAATTTGTTTATTCCATTATCAATATTTTTATCACATTATTAATCTTTACTTGTGTAACGCCGTTTGTAAAAAAAATTTCTTACATTTGTAATTTTTTCGAATGACATTATCAATTTTTCGTCATATGTTTTTTAGGTATTCTTTACATTTTTTTATTATTAACTAAATAGTCGTGCTTTTAATTTAATTGGTGACGTAGTAACATTGCCAAATGCCATTATCAAAATTTATTATGTCATTATCAATTTGTTTATTGTATTATTAGATTTTACTTGTGTAAAGTTATTTGTAATTTTTTTTGCAAACATTTGTAACTTTGTCAAATGTGATTATCAATTTTTCGTTGTATACTTTTTACGTTTTCGTTTGTTATATTTTTTAATTATTAACTGAACAGTATTTAATTTTAATTTAATCATTAGTTACATACCAAATGCCATTGTCAAACATTATCAATATTTTTTGTTATCAATGTTCAATCATTAATATTTTATTATAGGTTATTTTTTGTAATTAGTTATTAACCTTTTAGTATAATATTTTCACAATCAACACCATTAATATAAACTCGTAACTTTCATTTGTTGTCATCAATCGTAACTTTCATTTGTTGTCTTATCAATGTTTTTAATAACTATTATTAACGTTTTGCTCAATCATTTCATTGCAGTGGGTTTTTCCTCTCAAGACCACTTTGTTGCCTACTGTGTTGATCTCAAGAATAAGCAATTCCAATTCATGAATAGCTTGTCTCAAACGTGGGATGGAACAACGTACAAAGAGTATAAAGAGGAACTGGTTAAGTACATCGTTGCTTTTTGTGGTTGGATTAGTAAATCGTAACTATAATTTTGAGGAGTTCACATGGGTGGAAGACCTAGAGTTGAACCTTTCCTTTGAATTAAGAATTGACGTCTATTCTTAATTCAAATAGACGTCAATGACACTATTTTGTGCTTTGTAATTTATTTTTTAAAGTTTAACTAAACACAGTCGGTGACACTATTTTGGTTGACATTGTTAACTTGAAGGGAAATTATCATTTATTTCTGCTTCCATAATCAATGTGGATGATGATGCTTAGTTATTTAACGTGTTACTCTAGTAGCACTTGTGTTCGTTCTGTTTTTCATTTTCCTATATCTATTTGGCTTTAATAATGGTTATAAAAAAATTAAAAAAAAATTAAAAACTGAAAACTAGAGATTACTAATTGATGACATAAATGTTAATAACTAATTGTTATAATTGGTGTTGACAGTGACAACGTTTATAGTAAAAGGTTAATAACTTATGAAAAAAAACTAATAACCTATAGTAAAACGTAACTGATTGGACATTGGTAACAAAAACATTAGTTATGCGAATCATTGAGCAAAAAAGTTAATAATACTTACAAAAACATTAATAAGGTGAAATTAAAAATTACAAGCAGATAAATTATTAATAATGGTTGTCAATCGTTGATAGGTTACATATAAAATGTTAACAATGGAAAATGACGCTAATAATAAAAATATATTGTGCAAATGGCGGATCTCTCATCCTTCCTTGTCGGAGCCGCCTAACAGAAGATGATTCCTCTCCGACAACTTCAGCCAATGAATACCTATCAACAATCTTATATTACGCTGTTAATAATATCATCAACGTTTTTAATAATACAATCAATGTTATCAAAAAGATCAATTTGTAAACATGCCTTATTAAAATCATGATCAACCAAATTAATATCACTATACTAAAAAGTTCAATACATTGTCAGCGCATTATTAACTTTTTCCCAATATTATCAACATTTTTTACACAAACAATACTATTAACCTCGTTAACATTTTAACTTGTTCGAATAAATATTGTTATTAAAATCTTCTCAACCACTCCTACGAAGCATACAAAAATGTAAAAAAAAAAAATCTTAACCATTATCAACTTTTTTTCATCCATTATCAACATTTTAACATTAAGACATCAATATCATTAACAAAACAAATGATACTCTATCCATAAAACCTTTCCACGAAAAACAAATCCAACACAATAAGATCTGGCAACGATATATACTACCCAAAAAACCATTCGAAATTCCATACCAAACTCTAAAGTCGCAACACGTTCCATGTCATCGGCGGCCGCTCAACCACACTAAGTCGGTAGCATTCGGAGAATCGCCGTCGCGCGTGCGGAGGCTACAGAGGAAAGTGGGAAGGTTGTTGCGGAGTCGGGGCTCAGCTTTGCTCAACGGAGAACTGGACGGGTGTTGCAGAGCTACGGCAAAGCTTCGGTGATCGGGGAACTGGGTGACGGGGTGTTGCGAAGTCGCCGACTGATATTCGAATCAGGCTTCGCGCGGAATGGATGCCGACGGCGAGAAGATTTAGGGTTATAGAGGACAACCGTCTTTTCGAAAATGGTTAGGCATTCTGTTAATTAATCGTGAGTTTAATTACCATTTTTTATTTTCATTAATAATCTTATTAATATTTATTATATTCCTTTCTTGCCCTTCTAGGTAGTTAGTAAATTATTAGTAATGTTTTTCTCCCTCCTCTTCCTATTGGCTGGAATGGGTTTAAGATTTTCCTTAAAGAATGAGCCTTAAAGACCTGATCTAACCCGGCTCGCCATCGATAACCAGCGAACGCTTGCTACGGTCGCCGGAGGAGCAACAACATCCGAGCATCAGAAAGGAAAGGTTTCGTTGCATCGTGAAAATAATAATTAACAAATTAACTGATTTTTCGGCGAAGATAAAATTGGGTGGGGTTGGGGATTTTTTTTAGTGCGAAGGTTGGGGATATTTCCGACCGGGAAGAGAAGATAATGACGGAAAATTATAAAAATATTTATTTAATTGATTTATTTTGTTCTAATGGCAATTAGTTATACAATAATTGAATATAAAGGGGTAATGTTGTCATTTCAGAAGCCAATGAACGGTCAAGTGACGGAAATATAAATGGAAGTCTATATTTGTTAGGTTGCATTAATAGAGGATTGTATTTGTGCAAAATAATAATGAAAAGTTACATTTGTTAATTTGTGATAGTAAAAGAGTATAAAATGCTATTAACTCTTATAAATAACCTATTCTCTCACTATTTGACAACTCAAATCAATTTAGTCCCACGAGTTGCTCTACATACATATTTACAATAATATCCCTTAATTAGATTAACACACCGCCCACTTGGCTCAAAGTGAATCACACACCATCGGGCTATGTCAATATTTAGCTAGTTTTACTAATTTGATGTCTTGCTAGCCGGTTCCTATCATAGCTTCACCTTCACTATGTACCTCTTACACACAAACAAATAAATTTAGTTAAAACAGTATCTAAATATTCAACTAAACCCTAGGTACTTTCCCTAAATTTATAGTTATTTTATACTTTAATAGAGATTAAACATCAACGAGTCGTTGTAGTATAGTGGTAGGTATTCCCGCCTGTCACGCGGGTGACCCGGGTTCGATCCCCGGCAACGGCGTATAATTTTTTACTTGTCTTCCTAGTCTAATTCTACGGCTGGGCTGGGCTTGGCCTTTGCATCATTGGACTTTCTTACCACTGAGCCCAAATTTCATCTGCTATTCTTTCTCTCAAGACCCAGATCCATTAACTACCTTATTCATCAAATCCAAAAAGGTGAAGGAATAAATAATCTTTTACATGTAGTAATCAATTTTGAGTTTAAGCTCAAGTGAGTTAAAGGAATATTAGTTGAAAGGTTGAACTAGGTTCAAATGAAATCCATTGTTCATCAAATCCAGTACGGCAAAGGAATAAATAATATTTTACATGTGGTAATTAACTTTGAGTTTAAACTTTAAACTCAAGTGAGTTATGAAAGTTAGTTGAAAGATTGAACTCTGGTTTAAATGAAATAATCATTTGTTGCATGGAGTTTTTATGTGGTTCGAACTCGTTTCATTTATTTATTAGTTTTGAGTTGAATCTCGAATGAAGTATGGAAAATTAGTTGAACTAGATTTAAATAAAATAATCATTAAAAATTTGAATAAAATGATCACGAGTGTAAAGAGCCAATTTGAACATAAAATTATTCCCAAGTCACATCGCTTATTTGTCATTTGTCGTCCTTGGTACTTGGTAGCTTGCAGTACACTACAAGCAAATAACTTCTTTTTCCCCCCAAAGCCCAAACCATAAGACAACAAACTTTTTCACACCAAGTTGAAATTATTTGAAATTAAAGATAATACAATACCTTTTTTGTATTCCATGATTCATAACTCGTTACACAAAACTTTTCTTTTATTCCGACGACCAACAACCTCACCGGCGGTGACCTCTGTACCCACCGTCAACCACAAGATCAAGCCCCGTAACAAGCTCCGACTCCGCCGAAGCCAAGAAAACCACCGCATCCGCCACGTGTCCCGCCCTCAGCGCCACACCTTTCAAGCTCATATTCACCCCGACCGTACTCTCCACCCACTCCGCATCCTTCTCCCCTCCAAACCCTCGCAACGCCATCGGCGTCGCCACCACGTACGGCGACACACAATTCACCCTGATCCCGTGCTCCCCAAGCTGCACGCTCGCCGACCTCACCAGCCCGACCACCGCGTGCTTCGACAAGTAATAATCCACCATCCCTCTCCCGCCGGTGGACCCGGCCACGCTTGCTGTACACACGATGCTTCCACCCCTCACGCGCCCGTCAACCATCGCCCGCGCCGCGTGCTTCACACACGCCGCGGTCCCCCTCACGTTGACTGCAAAGACCTGGTCCATGGCCTCCAGGTCCAGGCCCAGCACGGTCTGGGCCGGGCCCGAGGAGGAAAGGGAGGGGAGCGGGGAAGAGGAGGAGGATGACGTGGCGATGCCCGCGTTGCTGAACATGATGTCCAGCTGGCCGAAGGCTGCCACGGTGGAGTCAACGAGGGATTTGACCTGGTCCTCTCTGGTGACGTCGCAGTGGACGTACACGGATTTGGTGATGGGGCGGCAGATTGATGAGGCAACTTCGCGGCCGAGTTCATCTTGGACGTCGGCGATTACGACCGCACGGGCGCCCTGTTCGGCGAAGCGGCGGGCGGTTTCCTCGCCGATCCCGCTCGCTCCGCCGGTGATGATCGCCACCTTTCCTGCCAGCTTCATCTTTTTTTCTTCTTTCTTCTTCTGTTTTCGTGTTGTTGAGCTTGTAAAGCAAGGTTGAGTATAAATAGAAGGGAAAGGGAGGAGAATGACAAATTCGTGGGGGTGATAAGTTGGTGTACGCAACTGGATTAGCGCGGTAGAGGCCAATGTGTAACAACTGCTACTTACAATATATGGGGAACGTAACTGTCTGTCATGACGACCGAGACCGGGTCAGATTAAAGAAAGTGTAGTGAGGACGTCTATGGAAAACGCCAAAAATGAAGAAGTTGGTGCAAACTTTTGGATGAAAAGGTGGAGACGCGCCGAGGAATTTTCCATTGAAGGGGAAAGGACGACAGGCAAATGCTGAAGTTGTTCAAACATCGCGGTCTAACCAAGCAACTAAATTGATATGTAACGTGGATAGGTTACAGTAACTCGGTTTAACTTGAATAATTTGGCTAATTAGGGAAGAACCTCAAATCTTCGAGCTCGCGTCTATGAGGCCCATGTTTAACTCCGAAAGAAAATACTCTCTCCGAAAGGAAATGATTAACCAATCAGCGAGAAATTCATTGCTCATTTTGTTGCGTCGATAAGTTTTACATGTTCTGCTGAAAAATGTTCTTCGTGGTAGCCGTTGAAATGGGGAAGGTTGACACTAGACGAATTAATCGACAAATCAATTTGTATTGGGTGTCCCTGTTACCGCCATCATCTCTAGTGATTTTCCAAGGGAAGAACCTTCGTCTTCCTCACACAAGTAGCATAATATCGTAACTCATTCTCCAAAGTATGCATCTCATAGCCTTCAAAGTCTCAAGACTAAAGTCTTGAGCAAGTTTGTAAATATTTTCTTCTTTAATAGACCGAAAAGAAAGGTTAGGACGTAATGTATCACCCAACTGAAGCAATCTAAATGATGACTTAGCAAATTTGTAAATATTTTCTTAATCAAAAGGTTGAAAAAAAATCAGCGCCCGACGGACTGGTGGAAGAATCAATTTCGGGTTCGTTCGTCTCCTCATTCTTGTTTTATTTAGGAGGGATTGGGGAATTTTTTTTATGTTTGCAGGGAAGGGTTCGGGTCCGTTCGTCTCCTCGTTCTTGTTTTGTTTAGGAGGGATTGGGGAATTTTTTTATTTTAGTGACACTTTATACTATTATATTTTAGACTTATAGATTTTAATATAGTTTTTCAAATAAAAATCATTGGCTAGAAATTTTAGTATAAATTTAGAGTAATGGTTTGAATATGTTCATGTGGATCATTTTTCTAGTTACACAAAATCGTATTATCAAATGACATCGAGCCGGCATTTTATAACACTAAACCGAATATCTAAAATCAAAAAATTTATAAGCACTATACTAACTCTGTATCAAGAAGAGTGCTGGGCCGGGGCTCAGGATGGCCCAACCCTAGATCCGCAACTGTGTGTTTGTTTTCTTTCATAAGTTTCATTCTTCTTGATGACATGTTCATATTATTCAGATCGGATGATCAATGGAAAATTGGAAGGAATGATATTGGATATTATACATTGCATTGATAATAAGGCGTGTTCCTTGACGTGTTGACTAAGTAAATATAGTTAACTAATAGAAAACTAGACGGAATTAAAAGGAGTAACTAATGATTCATTTGTTAATTTGTGACCATCTTGTTATTGTCACCAAAATTAAGTGACATTTTGGACTTTCGTGCTCAAAGAAATTTTTTACTTCTCGGACTAGTGATGACATGTGGGTTTCATATCTCTTTTTAATTAACAGCAATGCATGTGACATATTAGGATAATGTGCCTTGTTGCGTTGAATTTGAATCGTTCTTTGATAGATCTTTTTTTGGGGTTAAACTTGTCTTTTGGTTACCAACATGACATGTCCCACTGGAATCCCAACAATTTTACCCATCGCTATATGTCGACTAGAACGTCCAATTTGGCTATGTCCTGAATTCTGATCACTAATGCATCAACCAGCCAACCCCTGAATTAATCCAACAGAAATGCCTGACCTTTTCAAGAGGCTTTTGATCAGTCACTCTGTCCTCCCAAAACCAGTTGCTTCGTAGGCTTTTCGGTTTGTGACCTCTTCAGCAACAGCCTGATTGTGACTCACAGAGCTCACTAGGGCAATGTTTCGACAACTTCCATTTTTGCATCAGGGCATCTTTTGTCCATTACTAGACGAAGTAATCGACAAATCAATTTGTATTGGGTATCCCTGTTTCCGCCATCATCTCTAGTAATAAGCTTTGTGTCTTTCGGAACAAAAATTTAATATCCGAGTTTTTCCCAAGAGATTTTCATCCGAAAGACAGAAAATAGTTTTTCTTAATTTCATTTCCCTCTCTACAAGCGCACAAAACAAAAAAAACCCCAGAGTTGTGACTTCTTGTCGTTCGTTGGTTTCTTGGATTTCAAGTACCGATATGCACAAAACAAAAAAAACCCCAGAGTTGTGTGACCTCTATATGTTTCTAATTGTTTACCAATGGTATGATCTCACTCGATTAGCATACCACAAACAATTCATATTTTATTAGAAATATCATCCAATTACTTACCAATGGTATTGATCAAGGCAACTTGAGACGTCATAAGTAATTCAGATGCATTCCAGTAATGGAAATCTCATCTAATTACTTACCAATGACATTTCATCTATGTAACATGATATACCACAAGTAATTCAAACGAATTTCTAATTCAATTGTTTAATTACTTTCCAATGGTATAAACTTCATAAATATACCATAAGTAATCCAGAGTTTAAGTTTAATAAGATCATCTCAATTGAGCTCTTATGCCAAATTGTTTTCCAATGATATATATCTATATATATAACATAAACAATTCTGGCAACTAGCTCCACGTTGATAATCATAGTCAATTTGTTTTTCCAATGGTATAGTGTACTATACCATAAACAATTCTGAACTAATGTTTATCTTGACGACGACCATCATTTGGCAAGCTTATTAAATCCCTATAAGGATCAATCATACCTTCATTTTCCTTGCCCTCGTGGCATAGGAAACATCAAGTCCTAAACCATATACATAATAAACAAATTATTATGTCATCACAAGCATCTTAGGAATTAGAATGCTTTATCACTTATGGCTTACTCGTAATGCAAACCTTTAAAAGTGCATTAACCAAACTTCATCTCCATCACATTGGAGGTATACTCTTTCATAACTATGTTCAAATTACTTTGAACATAACCTATGCAAACATTCTGGCTTAGATAGACTTGACAAACAAGTCCCTACTGGCCTCTCGTCATAGGTTTCACATACCTATGATTGTTCATAGTTTCCCACTATCCAAACCACCGTTACTGAGAGTCCATAAGGACTATCATAAGTACTTCCATCCTCTCATGCATTACCATGAATGAAGTCCAAATTAAATTGGCACATTTATCATTCATCCATGCTACAAAAATGAAATGGACCAATGCAATAAAAGCATCAAAACTTTGTGGTTAATTTTGGAACCAAACAAACTCGTAAGGTTTTATCCAACTAATTTACCACTTGGGAGATAAGAACATTTGTCCTTTATTCATCATGTAAATACACGACTTACATAGGTACACACACACATACATAAGGATTACTATACATATACAAGAATCCTAAAGATTCTTGGGGTCGAAGTCAGGATCAGAGAGGCATTCATCGGTCTCTATGTCGGAGTACTCCTCGTTCTCTGATTCCTCAACTTCCTCTAATTCCCCCATACTCTCCATCGAGTTCACATGGGTGCTCAAATCGTCCACATTAGGACCCATTGAGTACCAATCATAGATGGGTATTTCATCTAGAGTCCAATAATTGGTTGGATGCTTTCCACCAATGTCATTATATAGCGAACAAGGAGGAGTACCAACTTGTCGAAAGACTTCTCCTTTTTGATGTCCTCTAAGGTCTACAAACTGGTTGGATGCTCCCACCAATTACACAGGGACACCCCATCAATTCATGTAGAAGATTTATTCTACTGCGCCTTGTCCATTACCACACGTAGCATGCAATATACATGCATGATGAATTGATGATCATATGTATTGGGAAATTAGTATGACAATTATATAATGGCTCATTCAAAGCATGCATAAAAAGCATACGCTGCCAAGAAACATATACCAAATATATATCATCCATGCTTGTATAATAAGAGGGACTCTGGATACTTACATGATCAGAATAGGAACCGATCGAGTGCTAGCTTCTTTCTTATACCATCAACAAGTACATCTTTTCTTCCTTACTTTCCAGTACATGATCCGAACATATATATGTATGTTTCACTGTCGGAACCAAATTTCCAACAGAACCAAGTTCCTTTCTTTCCTCCAACGACAGAAACAGAAGAAAAGAAGAACATATATGTATATACACACACCATATATATCACATAGGCAACTAATATATGTACATGTATAGCAAATGAACCAATATAAAAGGGAGCAACAGAATCCCTTTCTAATTAACCGCCAAAACCAATCATCAACTTGAAAAAGAAAAAAAAGCTTTCCATGTAACGAAACCAAAACATATGTATAGGTCATCTGTATAAATCATCTTATGCATGTTATTCCACTAATAACCAGAATCAAATTCAATGCATGGTAAACGCACGTAAACACTACCTAAGCCATACAATGATTTATATGTCCATTATAGATGAACAACCCAATTCGTCTTGCAATTATTCTTAACCTAACCATACCGAGAACAATTAGCAATTTCTAGTAAGATTCTTTAAGATTGTTGGGGAAATTGTTCACATATACTATTTTCTTGCAACACAAGCAAACACATAAGATTAAGAAAACATGCAAAGACACATGCAAGCGTCCTAGCCGATAGAATTCACTATATCTCCTTAAAGAATCTTATTCCCCTCAAGTACCCAAGGTTATGGAATGATTCCTCCCAGGATAGAAAGGACGTACCTTTTCCGGCGTAGCGGTACCTCAAACCCCGGAACCCATCGAACGCAGCGAACCGGCGAGAACCACACTTGACTCTATTTTCTCTTTGAAAAGAATGCAGAAAACTAGTTTTGGATTTTGGCAGAATTTTGGTACCGGGAAAAACCGATGTAAAAAACCAAAGGGGGTTAGGTGCTATTTATAGAAAATGAAGGGGTGCTTACGAAGGGAGGCAACTCTTCGTATGGGTGGTTATACCCCAAGTCCCAACCAACACATTGGTTCGTGTTTGAAATAATGAACCATTGCATCAGTTCGGCCCATGGTAGTTGGACCGTTTGGTTATTCGGTTCGGTTCGATTTGGTTCAACTCGGTTTGGTTTGGTCCGTTTGGTACACAAACCAATTTAACCGATTAACCACATATCACATCAAATCGATCGAATTCGAGGCCGTGCCTTCCCACATCTTACCAACAGGGTACTTCAAGAGACTCTCTTGAAACTTTCCCCTTTTATTTCCATTCACACCACTAAAAATCCCAACAATCTTTTGTCAATTACTAGACAAATTAATCGACAAATCAATTTGTATTGGGTGTCCCTGTTTCCGCCATCATCTCTAGTAATAAGCTTTGTGTCTTTCGGAACAAAAATTTAATACCCGAGTTTTTCCCAAGAGTTTTTCGTCCGAAAGACAGAAAATAGTTTTTCTTAATTTCATTTCCCTCTCTACAAGTGTACCAAAAAAAACCCCAGAGTTGTGTGACTTCTTGTCGTTCGTTGGTTTCTTGGATTTCAAGTACCGGTATGCCAGAAATATACGTCCCTTCTATCCTATGAGGAATAGTTCCACAACCTTGAGTACTGTAAATGGGAACTAAATTATTGATGGAGAAATAATATGTTTTATTGACTCGGACGATGTTTATGCATGTTTTGATAACCTCTCTATGTTTAAGTTTTGATTTCTTCTCCTTAATTATTTTGTTCACTTTGATTTCTGTATGTCTTGTGTCGGAAGAAAATTGGTATACATGACATCAGTGGCGGACCTAAGGCATTGCAGGGTGTGTCGTCCGACACACCCTCGCTCGAGAATTTTACGAAGGACCTACATATTTTCAGTACAAAATTTTTTACTTCGGGATAGCTGACACACCATCAATAATTATAGCCGACACACCTTCATTATACTCGAAGAAATTATTATTCAAATGAATCAATCTTAATCATAATCCTTTTTAATTTTGTTTAAAATAACTCATAAAGCATAATCTTATCCTTCCTATTAAAAAAAACACTCTTAGCCCATACAATATACATGTGTGATGAGTGTTGGGCCTGAGCCTTTAATTAAATGAGAAAAGAACCCACAGGCCAAAAGCCCAGTCGGCCACTAGCCCACTACCTCCCCATTATTATTCCTTCCCTCCTCATCCCCAATTAATGGCCCAATCTCCCCAATTAATGGCCCAATGCCATATTCCCTCTCCATATCTCAATTCCCAGCAAGCCATCCCCATTATCCCCCCTGGTTCCCTCTTCTCTCGCTCGCAAAAAATCCCAGACCCCAGACGAGCAAAGGTAAAGTAGTAAATTCTCTGCTTCAAATGCAAACTTTTCAGTTTGTCTTTCACATGAAGATGATGATTGAAGTGCTTGCAATTACAAATGAGTTGTCTATAGCTTTACAAAGGAAAGATCAAGACCTTGTTAATGCTATGGAACTCATTAATTGCTCAAAGAAGAGACTACAAGAGTTGAGAGATGAAGGGTGGGAACCTCTATTTGATGATGTGGTTTCATTCTGCACTAAGGAACAATTTCATGTTCCTAACATGAATGACTTGTTCACTCTTGCTGGAAGAACAAGACGTAGCACCCCTCATCAGCCTACAAACTTGCATTACTATCAAGTCGATTTATTCTATGCAGTTATAGATTTGCAGCTGCAAGAATTGAATACTCGATTTGGTGAGGTGAACACTCGATTGTTGGACTGCATTTCTTGTTTTAGTCCAGCTAACTCTTTTGCTTCTTTTGATGAAGCAAAGTTGATGAGTCTTACTGAGTTTTATCCCGAGGAGTTTCCATCCAATGTGCTCTCACGACTTCATTAACAATTGGGGGGCTACATTTCTCATGTCAAGGAGGATAAGAGCTTTGATGGATTGCGAGGAATCGACGAGCTAGCTAGGAAATTGGTGGAAAGGGGAAAGGACACTCTTTATCATTTAGTTTACTTGCTGTTAAAGTTGGTGTTGACCTTACCTGTGGCAACTGCAAGCTGCGAAAGAGCATTTTCAGCTATGAAGATAATCAAGAACGATCTTCGAAATCAGTTGAGTGACCAATTTATGAATGATTGTTTAGTTGTGTATATTGAAAAAGATTTGCTTTGCTGTATAAGTGATGAATGTATTTTAGAGACATTTCAGCAGATGAAAAGTCGTCGTGGTTCGTTGTAAACATGACATTGTGAACTTTATGAATTAATTTCTTTTAATTTTAACTTAATTTTTAATTTAATTTAATTATTATTTTATTTTATCGGCGACACACCTCTCCGACAATCTGGGTCCGCCACTGCATGACATATTCATTCGTCATAAGACCCAAGAATGGAATTTATAGCCACCCATGAATACGATTGGGCTACTGGAATCTCGAGAGGGAATCATTTGTTTATTTATTTTGGAGTACAGGGCGATTTAGGAGGTAGGGCAAAAGCAGCCAAAATAAAAATCTGCAGTTGGAACTTTTTGACCAAAATCAGAAGTACTGTTGGTCCATGCACCAAGTAAGTGGATCATATTTTGGTAATTGAAATCTCGGCTCCATCTGCTGGCCTTTGATGAGACAGATATTCCACCCCTGCATTTGGATTTACAAGTTCCCACCTGAACGAATGAAAGCAAGAAAGTGAGAATCCAACCAAAACCAGTTAGTAGAAGAAGTAACGTCTTAGTAGACAACTAACAACCCATACATGACCAACCATTAACTTATCGAATTCTACGTACTTGTATCCAGTAGACAAGTGATGGAGAAAGATAGCAAGGTGCGTCCTCGCGAACATGTTCCCGACGCAAATCCTCGCTCCCGCTCCAAATGCTTGAAACCCACTCCGCTTTACCTAAAAGATATACGCAACCGCGCATTCGACCAATCAGTATTTCCTAAACCCTGAACCCGAAACCCTGATGTTTGACTGAATCTCTTACATCATATCGGTCAGGATTGAAGCAGAACGGATCATCGAAGTTGTTTGAATCCGTATGAACGTAGCGAAGCCAACACAGCACCTTCCACCCTTTGGGAATGACGTGGCCTGTCCACATCAGTTGGCGACAATTTTAACATCAATCTAGCTTAGTATAATTCGCATGATGACAGGGCAGAAGAGAATATTACAAAAAACAAAGAAGACCAAGTCAAATCTTGGATGGAGATGATGACAAACCTCGAAACTCCACGTCCCTATCACTCAACCGAAAGGCGAAAACAGAGACATTCGCGAATCTCAGTATTTCCTCTACCACCTGCGCGCCAAACGGAAAACGAAAAATTGATCACCTTGGCGCACATTTTTAGTGGTTGAGTCGATTGTGATGATGTTTTAAAAATGTTACATCCGAAGTAATCCAACGACATTAGCACGTATTGTGGTGCGTACAGGGTTACAGTAAACCAATTTACCTTCTTTGTGTACTTGAGTTTTGAGATGTCATCATAGGTTATGTAATCCTCACCGCCACCTTTCTCGTATTTCAGACTCATGTTCTCCTCCTGCCCAAATACGTTCAAACCCACCGTAAGAGAAAACATTTACAGACAAAATCCAGAGTCAGTTCTAACCCAGAAAGCGGCCGGAGTTGCTCACTCGAAGTTTGGAGAGGGCGTCGGGATGCTTGGCGAGGCAGTACAGAGCCCACATGGAGGAAAGAGCGGTGGAATCATAACCTCCAACGACGAGACTTGCGATGTTATCCACCACTTCTTCATCGCTCAACAGGTCGCCTTTCTCGTCCCTTATCTCCATCAACCCATCCATTAGATCTTCTTCTTCCTCTGCTTCCTGCTTTCTTTCCCTGTTTCTCTGCTTCCTCTTCTCCAGCTCTCCCCTGAATATCGCCTCTATACTCTTTCTACACTGATTATCATCCAACCCCAGTAGATAAGAGGATTTATCAGGATTCGAATTAAAGGATATTGGATCAAAAGAATGAATTCTAATTTCTGAGATTATAAGTTTTTACCTTGAGGGCATGGTGGTACGAAGTTCCAGGGAAATTGATAGGAGTGGCCCTCATTCCCTTCATCATCCCCTGGAAGTATCCGTCCAATTGTTCCATTACAGGACCTGGCTCAAAGCTCACAAACAGCTTCCCTATGCTCTCAAATGTCATCTGCGCAAACAGGGTACAAATTCGAATCTTGATTTGATTCCTAATGACACATCAATTTTCAATTTCACCAAAAAAAAAAAAAAAAGGTGGTACCTTTCTGGCTTCGTGAAACCCGTTGACGGTGCCCTTCTGGGCCCAGGACCGGAGCGAAGCGGCGATGATCGGCTGGTTGAGCTGGGCGATCCGGCGGAGAGCTCTGGGCTGGTTGATGGCCGCCGAAATGAAGTTCCTCATCCGCTTGTGACTCTGCCCCAGCGCCGCCGTCAGCGAGTGGTGGCCCACCAGGTCGTTGGTGGGCCACCGGTGGAGGCAGAAGGCCTCGTCGGACTGCAGAACGAACCTGCTGCTCTCCGCCGTCCACGCGATGATCGACGGCTGGCCCAGCAGGTGCGTTCTGTACAGTCCCACCCCATCTCCGTATCTAGGAGAAGAAAACAGAGCAAAAACAGAGTTGGTAATTAGATCGGAGGTAATTAAAATTGAATTGAACATGGAGATCTCAGCGACGGAGGGAAATAGAGAATGCTTACTTGTGTCGTTTGGAATTGATGAAATCGTCGGGGCGGCGGACGATCTTGAAGTACCAGAGGAAGGAGAGAAGGTCTCCGATGAAGGGCAGACCCATGTGCCCCCGCGGCAGTTTTTTACCGGTTCCGGTGAGACGGGCCTTCACCGGAGCTACGTGACGGAGTTCGTTCCACCACCATACCAGTGCGAGGGACAGCAATGTGATGCAGCAGAGAATCCACCATGGAACAATCATTTCTCCTCTCTTTACCTTTTTCTTCCTTTTCTCCCCTGTTGTTCTTTACAGTAGTGCGTGCTAGCTAACGTTTAAATAGTGACAAAAACAAAAAAGGAAGGAGAATATTTAGGAAAGAATGACGATAAAAGAAACAAATTTAAGGAAAGAGGTCGCATTCATTATGTCCATGGTACTTGATGAACTACCCAAAAAAAAAAAAAAAAAAACTGTTGCAGAAGAAACCCCGAAAAGGAAATGGTCACGCATGGCGAACGAGGTTCGTTTTAGAAGCTCTGCATCTGAGTTATAGTTAGAAAGTCACTGTCTTTGACTTTACATGAACTTAATCTGAGATGTTGACGGTTTAACAGAAGGAATGTTATTCATCTCATCCTCATTGTCGATCAAGCAAAACCCAGCCTGATTCCCAAGAACAGGTAGTGCCGTAGTGGAGATTCTTGTCGGAGCAAGATTCTAACTCGGGTTGTTGGGAGTTGGAGTAATAGTACTACGGTTCAAGTTAAAAGGAGACTATATGTATTGAAGGGTCAATTTCACGACTAACAATAAGCTAATTCATGGTTTTGACTTTTTCTTGTTTGGTCGTGAGAGTTAGGTAAAATTGGATATGGATAAATAGCGAGTTCTATGATGGTGACTTCATCCCATAAAATTCAATTCCAAGCCAATCTCTTCAGCGATCGTGTATTACATTCGTGAATTTGAATCTTATGTACAAAATTTTGAAAAATCCGAGTTAAAACAAAGGGGGCAAATTATTTTATGAATTTAATCGAAAAGTTGTTAGCCCTAAATATATACAAAAAGATTTGATAAAAGCTTCTAGATCTCATTGAATTTGTTTCTTTCTTACAAAGTTTTTTAAAATCCGAATTAAAATGAAAGAGATAGACAGTGACATAACTGATTCGAATATATTTTATATAGATTACTTATACTTTGAGTCATACTTTAAAATCATTGTCTAAATAGTCATGTAAAAATGAATTAATGTTTTCAAACCTAAAAGTATTTCCTGGAGAACATTGACAATTATAATCAACCTGTAGATTGCCAATACTATAATCAATTATTTGGTGTCAGATAATTAAGTTCATGAATCGACGAGGCCCAAGATACAAATACTTAAACAATCATAACTTGCCTCCCTAAACTACTAGGCTATATTCTTCATTAAAATTTGATAGTGACAACACACTCACTCCCCTGGATTTGGCATTATGCCTAGGGGAATCCAATTACGTACAATACCACAGTATCAGATCCTAATCAATTTTAAGCAGCGGAATCTAACTTGTTCTGGATCCCATCATTTTGAACACAACACAGAAACTAGTCATCGTAGCTAACTTCTTTTTGTACTATCGAGTCTCTCATGTTCACTAATTTCACTTGTGTTAGAATATGACTTGAATTTGATTTGAGTTTGTTTTGTGTTTTGGGCCTATTTTGTTTGGATTTGTGTTTGGGCTTTGTTTTGGTCTTTTCCTTGTAGGTTTGGAAAATGTGTTTGGTTTTCTGTTTGGGATTAGGAGAAGAGTTCTATAAATACTCTTCATCACCCTAGTCTGTAGTAAGGTCAGTCAGGTTAGTTTGTTTGGTTTGTCCGTTCGGAATTTGGTTTGTAACCTGCACTCTCCTCAAAATCAGTGAAATTTGTTATCCCCTGCCCGTGGATTAGCTAGCTCACATTGTGTTAGTAAACCAAGTTAAATTTGTGTTCATTCGTGTTGGTTTGGATTATCGATTGCACGCTTCTGTACTGACAAGTGGTATCAGAGCCTTTGGTTGCGGTTTTGGGAATTTTTCGTTGGACTGAAGTTTTGCTTTGTGGAGGTAACTTTCAATTCTTCAGCTTGGTTCGGTGGAGGAATCGCTTTGAAGTTGACTTTGTGGGGTTGTGTTTTGGTCTCACTTTTTTGGTGAGAAATTTGGTTGGAGTTTGTTTGATAATAAGAATGGCTGCTATCAGTATGAAGATTGAGAAGTTTACAGGAAGAAACAGTTTCAGTTTGTGGCAGATCAAGATGCAAGCACTGTTGAAACAACAGGGTTTGTGGGCTCCGTTGTCTGGAAAATCGAAGAAGGAAAGTATAGAAGAAGAAGAGTGGATTACTTTGGAGGAGAAAGCTCACTCTACAATCTTGCTTTGTTTGGCTGATGACATCATCACTAAGGTTGCTACTGAGAAGACTGCTGCGGGCTTATGGTTGAAGCTTGAAAGTCTATACATTACAAAGTCTTTAACTAACAAGTTGCATATGAAGCAACGTTTGTTCAGTTTGCGTATGGAGGAAGGTACGTCTCTCAGGAATCAGCTAGATCAACTCAATACTATCTTGCTAGATCTGCTGAATATTGATGCTAAAGTAGATGATGAAGATGCTGCCTTAATTCTGTTAGGCCCTGTTCACTTTCATTTTCGTTTTCTGTTTTCTGTGATAAATTTGGCAACCGAAATGAGAAAACTTGTTTACTTTTCATTCTGTTTTCTATTCGCTTCCAACTATGAAAACAGAAAGTGGCAACTTCCTGCTGTTTTCGGAAACGACAAAATGTTGTTTTCACCTGTTTTCAACATCTGTTTTCTCAAAAACAGGAAACAGAAATGAAAGTAAACAGGCCCTTAGTATCTTTGCCACAGTCATATGAGAATTTTGTTGATTCTTTTATTGCTGGGAAAGATAGTTTGTCTTTGGAAGATGTCAGATCTGCTCTACATACTAGGGAGGTTCGACATAAGGCGTCTGGTTCAGGTTCGCAAAATCAGGCATCTGGATTGGCTGCTACTAGTAGTAGGAGCCAACAATCTGGTAATAGAAAGGCGAATATAAATTCAAATTTTGTTGGTTTGAAGGATGATATCTGTCATTACTGTAAGGAGAAAGGACATTGGAAATTTGATTGTCCTAAACTGAAGAAATATCAGGAGAAGAAGGAATCATCTGTTGCTGTGGCGGAAGAAACTAACTGTGATTCTGAAGATGGTTTAGCCTTAGTAGTGAATGAACAGGTACATGATCAGGATGTGTGGTATTTGGATACTGCAGCTGATTATCATATGTGTCCAAGCAGGGAGTGCTTTTCTACTTATGAGCAGATAAATGGAGGACATGTTTCTATGGCCAATGGTGCTATTTGTAAGATTGTTGGAAGAGGCTCCGTCCGGATGAGGACACATGATGGTTCTGTTCGCACCTTGAACAATGTTAGACATATTCCAGAGATGACTAAGAATCTGATATCTTTGAGTCTACTAGACGGCAAGGGTTTCAGTTTCAAAGGTGAAGGTGGAGTGTTGTCTGTCTACAGATGTTCTAAGGTGATTTTGAAAGGTGTCAAACGGGGTGCCTTGTATAATCTACAAGGTTCTGTTTTGACAGGTTATGTTGGTGATAAGTGCACGAAGCTGGTTTTGAATGACAAGTCTCAGCATGGGTTGGACTTGCCAAATGGTTTGAGTTGTTGACCGCCCTTAGGGGCATTTGGAGGCAGGGGAGATTCTGTTATAGCTGATTTGGAGGAGTTAGTACGTCTGGCAATTCTGATTGCATCTGAGTTTGGCGATTTGCATCGCGTTTGAGTTTAGTGATTTCGATCACATCTGGATATCTGGCGATTTTGATCGCATCTGGGTAAATTTGGCGATATGGATCGTGTTTGGGTACATCTGGCAACTTTGGTTGCGTCTGGTACATCTGGTATTTGGGAGAGAATTCAAGTCAAGGTGGAGATTGTTAGAATATGACTTGAATTTGATTTGGGTTTGTTTTGTGTTTTGGGCCTATTTTGTTTGGGTTTGTGTTTGGGCTTTGTTTTGGCCTTTTCCTTGTAGGTTTGGAAAATGTGTTTGGTTTTCTGTTTGGGATTAGGAGAAGAGTTCTATAAATACTCTTCATCACCCTAGTTTGTAGTAAGGTCAGTCAGGTTAGTTTGTTTGGTTTGTCCGATCGGAATTTGGTTTGTAACCTGTACTCTCCTCAAAATCAGTGAAATTTGTTATCCACACCCATGGATTAGCTAGCACACATTGTGTTAGTAAACCACGTTAAATTTGTGTTCGTTCGTGTTGGTTTGGATTATCGATTGCACGCTTCTGTTCTAACAACTTGTTTATCAACAAACGGGCAAAGAAATTTGTGACACATATTAAGTGAACACGGACTTGATCCAGTGGTACTACTACTACCACTATTATTGAAACTGAAGGTCCCAAGTTGAAATTAAGCACACAGACACAGTTAATTTGAACGACCAATAAAATCACCGAACACGAAAGATCCATTGACTACATAGGAAGGTCCACAAAGCAAAAACTGAAAACAGAGAGGATACGAACAATTATTTATATATATCTATATATATATGGGGAGTTTTACGGTACCTAAGGTGAAACCCGGGTACCGCATACCTTGAGTAAGAAAACGCTATCCAGGACTTGAATTGACTGATCTTTCGGACATGATACTATACTCTAACCCTTAAAGATCAAAATCTAGGTCTTAATTCTCTAAATCTTATACCCCAAGATCAATTTAATTAGAAACAATAATCGACGGTTATGATTCGTCCAAATATAGGCAAAAAAATCAATGCATCATCTTAGGATTTATAGTTTATGATTTAGATAATTAGGACCTAGGGTTCACTCATTAAGGATTAGGGTATAGTATCATGCCCAAAAATCCTGCTTATTGGAGGTCTAAATAGCATTTTCATACTAAAGGTATGTGATACCCCGGATTTCACCCGGGGTACCGTAGAAGGCACCATAAAACACGCTAGATCACTTTTCTCGCCAGCCGGAGACGGAAGAAATTTGTGAGAGCTCAATGTATTGCAAACTGACAAATTTTTATTTTTGGTGTTTGTTTCAGTGTTTGTCGTGTTACGACCCAACCCTATTCACATTTTTTCTAATGTGGCCCAGTGCTCTACCCGATCCTGGATCCACTTAAGGCAGTATAAATCAGCAACCATAATCAACAACCAAGTTGTAATTAACCTCTCAACAACTTCTAACAACCAACATGACTCGAGTGACACAAATCATAACTTGAAGGATTTAATACGAAATAAATCAAACGGCGCAGCTTCAATATTGACCCACATATTAATTCAAACATCAGAGTTTTGACGCTGCTGCTAATCCTTTTCCGGCAAGGAGAAGGATTCCTCAGCTTCCTCGTATGCAGCTCCAGTTCTGATCCATCAATATTAAGCAGAGGTCAGAGTGCGGCGATCGAAATCTTCATGCCATCGGTCGGAATCGAATGAGGTAGGTAAATCATAGGAGCATCAGGATTCAACACTTCCCACCTGCATGCACACACATCAATTGTCACCACACATTCTGATCATAAATCATGTTTCATTATGATTGTGAACCAAAACTATCTTGGTTGCACTAATAGTTACTTGTATCCAGTGGACAAGTGATGCAGAAAGACGACAACTTGTATCCTGGTCAGCATATTTCCAGCTCAGATTCTCGACCCTCCGCCAAACACTTGGTACGCTCCAGCCTCCAGGGGTTGCTGGTATCTGATTAATTGAATCCAATAAATAACATGAAATCGTACTATTGATGCTCGCACTCTATCTTGTTCATTTAATGAATGAATATATACGTTATAATCTTTTATTTTGTCCAAATTAAGGGCTTTAGTATAAGAGATGCTTACATCCCATCGGCCTGGATTGAAGCACATGGGATCCTAAAAATTTCCGGGATCTGTATGCGCATATCGGATCCAAATGGCGACTTTCCAGTTTTTGGGTATTTTGTAACCTTTAGGTAAGGAAAATTTGAAAACTTATTCAAGGGACGTTACAAAATGAAAATACAAAACTTATTCGAGATTATACGTAAACGTACCCTTAGTTTCCTGAGAACGTGAGGGTACATGGAAAGATAATAAATAGACCACATGATAACAACAAAGTAGACTCGTAACCCCCAATAACAAGGTTCACGATATTGTCCAACACTTCCTGCTCACTCAATTGATTCCCTTGCTCATCCTGGATTCCCATCAACCCGTCCATTAAGTCATTTGTCTTGGAATCCAACCCATCTAGCTAGCTCCATCTTCTTCCTTTTCTCCAGCTCTTTCTTGAATATATCAATCACTTTCTTCCTGCACTGCGACCATCGAACAATTCATGGATCCACCTTCAGTAAATCCAACCTCGAACAACATTGGCGATATATGGGGAATATAAGGTAGTGATATATGAGATTTTATATATTAGATGTGCAACCTGAAGGGCGTGGTGATACGCAGTTCAAGGAATCCTGAGAGGTTGAGCTCTAACCCCTTTCAATATGATAGTTCCTATTTGTCGCCCTAATTATTTAAATTTATCGCCCTAAGATATGTAAAATGACCAAAATGCCCTTGGGTGGGTTTTAGGGTTTAAAACCCATATATTGTAGTAGGACATAATGGTCCTACACTTTTCCACTCTTTGTAGAGACAAAGAGTGGAAACATCAAACAAAAAACTAATCAAATCCCACACCACAACAATTCGAACAAAGGTATGCTGCATTATTCTTTTTTTCCCCCTGGTTTTACGAGAACAAATGGGTTGAAATTGTGTGCGCGCCGCCGGAGAGGCAGGTTGAAAACACGTCTCTCCATGGAGGAAACGGGTAGACAGCTTGTCCGTTCCTCTCATCAAGCATGTAATTCACATGCTTGATCCATCAGACAGGCGGGTAAACAACATGCCCGCGTCAGTGGACAGGTGGGACGACCTTATGTCCGCGCTGATGGAGAGGCTTGTAATCGACCTGCCCGTCCCGCCATCTCACCCTTTCGGACACATGTCTTTCCATGGACGAGGCGGGTAGACAACCCGCTTGGCATACGGCGTAATCCCGTAAAGAACGTGCCCGCTAACTGGTAGAGGCATCTGCGCAGCACGTTTGAACCATTGGCGAGTCATGTTTTGCACATGCTTGGGGCCGGTTTTTGTGATTTTTTAGATGGATTTTTGTGAATTGTTAGACAAATTTTGATGAAATTCAATTGAAATATATTATATGTTCATTAAAATTTGTTTTTTGTTGTGCTTGTAGGAGGGAGGACAAAGTGTAGAAGCCTCTTTCGCTATCATCATCAAATAACAAGTTTAAAATGAGTGATTCGGTAAATACCTTATTTCTTTGTTGTTTAATAGTTAAATTATTGCAACATAATTGTTTCAAGACTAACGTAAATATTTATACCGTGTATTTTTTGTAGGGAGGTTTTGGAAATGATAAGGGTGACAATGTTGATTACACATCATTTTTCATAAATGATGTTGTTTATGATACCCATGATGATGCTTGTGCGGTTGCAAGGGAGATTGCCATGAGAAATAGTTTTTTCTTGATTGTGGATCAGTCAAGCAAAATCACTCATCAGAAAAATATCCGCGGTACTATATGGATTGCAACCATGGCTATAGGAACAAGTCATATACTCCTAATTTGGCAAAAACAACACGGGGCAAATCTAAAACAGGTAAGTCTGATTGTCGTTTCCGAGTGGTAGCGCGTTCTTCATTGGTAGATGGCAAGTGCGAGTGGAGAATTTTTGGTGTTAAGGACAAAGATAATCCGGGTAAGTCGAGAGGATTTCACAATCACAAATTGGAGGTTTATTCTGAAGGAAGTAGGCAAAGGAATTCTCTTTCGAAAGAGAGAAGAATGGATATTAAGGAGTTGGAGGCAACACATACTCAAGCAAGAGATATTAGGAGTTTTTTGAATAGGAAGTGCGATGCTCATCACCATATGAAGCAGATTTATAACGAGACAGAAAAGATTAGGCGTGAGAGATTGGGTGGCATGAAACCTATGCGGTGGACATTGATAGAAGCTCAACGTCTCGATTACTTTGTTGAGTGCGAGTTTGATGATGAGCGTTGTGTTTCTAGACTCTTCCTTTGCCATCCAGAGTCTATTCGGATGTTGAGCGCATGGCATTTCGTCATTTTGATAGACTCAACTTACAAGACTAACAAGTATAAGCAGCCACTAGTTCAGTTGATTGGTGTTAGTCCGGTGAAGAATCACTTCAATATTGGGTTTGCATTGGTGTCAGATGAGACGAAGGAGACATATGCTTGGGTTTTGATGCAATTGAAGCATCTGCTTGGTGATCGAACACCGGATGCGTTTGTTACCGATAAGGAGGGAGGTTTGGGTGTCTCATTGCGACAGATCTTTCCATCTTCAGCTCATTTACTATGTGTGTGGCACATGAAGAGGAACATTGAAGCTAAAATGTTGTCTTTTAGGATCAGTCGTGATTCTGGCGAGTGGTTTATAGAAGGTCCATGGGGGAGAGTCTTGAATGCCAATACCGAGGCATGGTTCCAACGGTGTTGGCGAGACTTGCAAAATGGTCATTGGGGGTACAAACGAAAAGTGGATGGACTACCTCAGAAGTGAGTGGATACCATGCGCGGAAAGGTGGGCTCATTGCTACACCAATCATGTCTTCCATATTGGTAACACAAGCACAAATAGGGTAGATTCAATGTATTCCTCTTTGAAGAAATGGCTTGCCTCTTCGACCCACAAGATCGATACACTCTTCCTCAGATTTCATACATCCGTCGAGGGAAGAGTGATTGAATTGAAGAAGGACTTAGAGGCATCACTTTCCAAGGTATTTTTATTTTTTTTTGCTTATTTAAATTAGTACTTCCCTATATCCTCAATTTGATTTTGACTTAGAAATTCATGATTCGGAAAGGTATTTGCATTAGCCTATGGACCGCCATATGGAAACTTGAATAAGGAAGTAAGCTTGTGGGCGATTGAGTTGATGATGGAAGAACGAGAGAGGGAAATCGTTCGGCGATGTGGATGTCGGCTACCTGAGACACATGGTCTACCATGTAAATGTAAGATGGATGAATATAGTGTTGCCGGCGTAGAGTTGTATCCCTACCACTTGCATCGATTCTGGTCATCTTTGGTGTATGAGAGTCCTCCCGATCGTGCCGAATGGGAAGACCATGGTGCCATTGAGCGTAACATTTTTACAGCAATGGTGGAGGATGTGTACAAACAAGGGCCAGCTGCTATTCGGAAGGAAACTCAGATACTACGACCCCATATTCATCCTCAAGTTGAAGGCCTACAAGAGCTTAGGGAGTTAGAGGCTCAAAGGGGACGACCACCTAAGAGGACTAACGCCCGAGATCCTTCTTCGTTTGAGCATGAGAGGGCAACGGCAGAAAAGAGGAGCAAAACAAATCAGAGCCCGAGGACACCTAGGAGCAAAACCCCTGCAGGTTAGCATCGTTTTAATATTTTTGTGATGATATCTTGTCTCATTTGTAAGGTTTCCAATATGTGACCATTTATATTAGTTATTTTTTCCATTTGTTGTAGGTGCACGAAAAAGTCAGCATATGCAAGTTCATAATGAGAGAAATGTTTGCCCTATCTTCGCTATGTCCCACCCAGCATCCACCCTCTTGTTAGAGGTTGGTTTGACCCAGAACCAGACGGGCAATGTGGTTTTCGGGCCATGTCACATGCGATTCACTAGGCCCCCCTCCATGAACGGGACCCTCCCACCTCCTAGCCAATGGGTCTCCCTGTGCCACGGTCTGTGGTGCAGCTCTGTTAATGCGCAACAATGGAAATTACTCATAGATCCAAGCCTGTAACAAGGTCAAGCACCCAGAAAATCCTTTAGATCCTGCTCGACTAGATCTCCCAAGCTGCCTATACATTCAGGCAAGCGCACCCAGCACCCCATGCATACTTACTAACCATCAGCAAATCTCTGAAGTAAGAGTACAACCATCCACGAACACGATCAGAACTCTTATCCACAAAAAGCGTGGACCCTATCAAACACATTAAATAGCATCGTGCCTCAGCATCCCCATCTTCCCTAGCATGTAGACGTGTCATGGCCTCATCTACCAACATCCCACCACCGTCATACCAACGGATGCCACGCGCTGCCACTGCATTCTTATCTAGAATCCCAAGAAGATCAACAATCCCACTCACGAACGACAGATCACCCTTAGCTGGTGCAGCAAGTAACTCTCCATCCACGGGAATCTGGAGTAGGAATGAAACATCGTGAAGAGTGATCGTCATCTCCCCGAACGGCATGTGAAACGTGTTGGTATCCGGCTGCCACCTCTCAATAAACGCCTCCAAGAGAGGGTAATCCACACTATGCATCATGCAACTACTCAAGTGGTACAAATTAGATGCCCTAACCAAGTTCTCTACACGTGGAGTCGAGAACTTGTACAACCTCAGTCGATCCACTCCACCCTCCGAGTGTAGAACTGATACTCAGACATCACTCGAAAATCCAAACCCAAAGTCCACAAACGATGGCTTATGTGACCACCGAAACTAGGGATCAAACTGTGGTACTCGGACCCCCAAGACCTGCTCCTGTAAGCAGCCATGTCTGATCCACCAACTTCTTCCGTGAAGGGACGCTCCCACTAGATGATGAAGCAAAACGCCCATCCTTACCACGTAGCGGCCCAACCCGAGTACTAACATGGGTCGAGCCAGTAGACACGTGATCGCTCGAACCTACAGGATGGCCCTGGTAAAAAGCATCAGGAAACGGCAAAAAATCACCCTCATCACACTCATCATCACTGCTCGTGGCATCCTCCACCAAGTCATCATATGTGTTGATGACTCGCATCTGTCGAGAATCATGGCTAGAGGGGGCAGGATCAACTACAGCTTGACGAGCAAGCTTCTCCTGACGCTCCAGCTCAATAGCTCTATCCTTCTCCTCCTGACATTTTCTCCGCTCAGATCCAGTAACATTGCGTCCAACAACCCTCGACTTTCCCTTTCTTTTGTTCATTTTTACCAACTATCAAGAAAATAATTTTTTCCAGAATTATTATTAATCATCCTAAACTTTTTAACTATTCCTAATAATCATTAACAATCATAAACTTTATCAATTGAATACTACTTATATTGTCAAAATAACAAAACATCATGCTAATTATAATTAACAATTCAAATCAAGTTGATCAAAGTTCACATTCTAATGTATGTCGCATAAATAATCATTCACAATTATTATTAATTAAAATCAACAATTCATAAACCTATGCATTTAAATTAATAAAAAAAAATTGGGCAGAACAGAACCAGGCCGGTTGGAAAACCAGACCGAACTGGGCCGGGCGGGTCGGATACCCGACTGGACCGGGTTGGCGACCCAGCCACCGCCCGATGCAGGCGGTACCCTGCCCGCCTCACCTAGATCCGGCCCTTCCATCTCCCTGCTCTTTACGGCGACGGGAGGGTGGAAAACCTGCTGCCGGCAGGCAAAAGATAGGTCGAAAGACTTGTCTTTTGCCCGCCGGCAGCAAGTTTTCCACCCGCCCCATTTACATCCACGAAAATAAAAATAAAAACGTGGAAAGAACGGCAGAAAGGGCGACTCACCTTCTCCCGGCGACGACGACAATGGCGAGCAAAGGAAGGCGTGGATCGGCGGCGTTGCTGGGGAGAGTGAACGGCGGCGGCGTTGCAGGGAGATGAAAGGGCGGCGGCTGGTCTTCGAAATGGAAAGAAGGGGGGAGGCGGCGGCGTTGCAGGGAGATGAAGGGCGGCGGCGTTGCTGGTCTCTGTTGCGAAATGGAAAGAAGGGGGAGGAGGCGGGCTGCTGCCTCTGCTGCGATGGGAGTGGGGCGAGTAAAACAATATGGTAAGTTTAGGTTAGGGTTACTTTTTTAAGTTGGGGGTAAAATTGTCCATTCAATAAATTTAGGGCGATTTATTTGAAAATTTAGGGCGACGAATAGAAGTTCAGTTCAATATACCCTTGAATAGTTCGTCGATGGCGGCTAATTCTGTCCCTGGCTCCAAACTTGCAAACAGCCTTCCTATGTTTTCAAATGTAATCTACGAATTCCGAACACTTGTTTCTCTTAGTTAGTGAATAATAACTAAAAAACACTAGGGTACTAACATCATAAAGTAGAGGCTAGCTTAACGTACAAAACGTGTTATTTCAAAAGCAAACATTAGCGTCTAAAAGTGTAGAAGCGTAAGTTGATGTACACATTTTGAACTTTCACTAAAACTTATTTTTCATTCCCGTAAATCTAGGGATGGGCAATGGCTGGGTTGGGTGGGTTTTGGGGGAAAATCCACCCACCCATTGTTATGGTAGGTGATGAGAAAATGACCCACAACCACCCATTTGTATCGTTGTGGGTGGATTGGGTGGGTGACAGCCGACGGTGGGTAGGTTTGACAGTTTTGATGGGTCAAATCATTTTTAAATAAGGGCTAGTACCACTGGGAAACCCGAACTATCAAGAAAGTGTCATTTGTGTCCCGAACTATTCAGTATTCCATTTGTGTCCCAACGTATGATAGTTGTGCGTCATTTATGTCCTGACGATTTCGTTAACTGTTATAAATAACGGTTGACCAACATGGTCAACTTAATGTTGACTTAGGAGCAGAATCGACAGAGCGATTAAGACGATTTGGAGATTTTTTTAACCTTTTATTTTATTTTTCTTATTTCGGTCATTTTAGATGAAAATATAAATAATATTTAAAATTTTATATAAGATGCCACTTCGACACTCACTGAGTTTTCTGTTAAAATAGTGACGGTCAAACTCGGTCAACACTAACGAAAAAATAGTTAAGACATAAATGACATATTAAATAGTTCGGGACACAAGTGACACTTTCTTGATAGTTCGGATTTCCCAATAGTATTAGTCCTTTGAATAATTAGATAGTTATAAGCCATAAAGTTTGCATAAAACAAATTGAATATCAATACTAAAAATCAACAAAATTGATAACTATTAAATGTAATTGATTGCACAATCTAACACCAATTATGAACCAAAAATATTTTATTTATAGTTATCATATTTTCAAATAATTGTTTTATGTTGTAAATCAAGTAAAATTTATAAAAGATAATTGTAATTTAATTGAATCAATCACAATTAAAATTTTGAAATAAGAAAATTTGTGATTTATTATTGAAAGTGCATTAACGACTTAATATATTATGTGATTTTGCGGCTAATGACTCATCCACTACTCACCCAAATTTAATGGGTGACAAAAATGATGACCCACACCTAGCCAACTTTCAAATAATGAAGTTTGCGTCTTGCAAGATCTCGAAAAGTTATGCGGAATAAAAAAAAATTCGCTAACAAAGATACGTTCGTTTGAAATTTCCATCCAAATTTGATTTTTCAAAAAAATTTATATGGACCAAACCGTTGGGTCGGACAGCGGTTTCGGACCAAACCACCCTGGACCGAAGCGGTCTACAAAACCGTTCTAGACCCAAGCGGTTTTGTTTAAAACCGCGCCTCCACCCAGGGATTCTCGACTTTTCGAGTATGGGTGCTATTTTTATTAAAAAAATTAAACATTGTTATTTTTGGAAGAAAAGGGATTTATGTTACCTTCATGACTTGTTTGTAAGCATTGACTCTGCCAGTCCGGGCCCAGGATTGCAAGACCGCAACTATATTGGGCTGGACGAGGGATGCGATTCATCGAAGAGCATGGGGCCGGTTGATAGCATTGGTGACAAAACTTCGTAGCCTGGTGTAATGTGGCCCATGAACTGCCCCGAGGGAAGTTGGGCCAATAAATTCCACGCTGGGCCAACCGATGATAAATTCGTCGTCTTTCTGGTACATGTACTGGTTCACCGCTGGCGCATATGCTATGATCGTCGGTCGGCGGAATAGGTGGCTTCTAAATAAACCATCTCCATCACCATACCTGTTTCCAAAAGACATATGAGGAACACGTACCTTGCCAAGTGCCAACTCACTGAACTCAGCACTCCATCATCACATGGGTCATTCTAATTTAGTATTTGTCAAACCTGTTATTTCGGTCAATTACCACACAAATAACACACGTCACAATACATATTACTAGCTTATAACCCGGCTCTTTGGCCGGAATGCTCATATTTGATTATTTGTATTTTTATGTTACTTTTAAGTCTATTAACCCGTTTAATCTTATCGATAATCATTCGATCGAGATGATACATAAACAAATAATATATAGGTCGAACATTCGGAGAAATATCATAATCATTTAAGAATATAAAATATAAAAATGTATCATTGACCCCATTTTCATAATGCTAATAAAGTCCCTGTTAAAATGCTATTGATTTTTTTTTTTTTACAGTCAAGAAATATAGAGTATAAAAGCTCACTGAAATTCTCACACAACCCATAGATAGTTTGAAACGAAATCTTAAACCTCACAATCCTATATAAAGGGTTCAATGCTTTCCTTTTAGAAACAATATGTCACTAATAAAAAAGAAATGGAGAGTTGTTGATTCAAGTCATCTATATACTAAAAACTCAGCTAAGAGGCGACCATCACAACTTGAGAGCAAACGAAAAAATCAGGGTTATTTCCAACATACGAATAGACTCGATCAAAGTAATAAGGCGCAAAATTAGACACTCCTTATCTGTTAGTTCCAGTCAATCAATGATTCCTCGTTTTAAGATAGAAATAGGTTGTGACAGTTGCAAAAACCATAAACCTAAAGATCCAATAGCCACCACTCTCCGTTGTACAACCAAATTTCTATCTCAAGAGGCATATATTCAACCAAAAATTCAATTTCTAATCCTCCTTCTACAACTTCAATTATTGATGAACTCCATTCTATTCGCCATGAATTGATATCAGAGGTGAAATATTCTACTTGCCCAGCTTAAAATCCCCAACAATAAAACCGTAGTGCCAAGAGATACCTGAAGATTGATTTTCAATGACAGTCTTGTACTGGGAAGTGAAAGGCGCAAACTATTGCACGATGGATGAAATTTCGGAGTAAGTTAGAAAGAGAAAAGAACAAAGATAAAAAAAAAACAAAAAATTTAAATTTAAATTGAAAAATGCAAGGATACAACACGTAGTTACATAATTAGTTTCTTCCATGTTAGCCAATTACCCATTTACCTTTAGCAAAAATTAAGGAGAGCTTGCTAATTATGATGAAAAAGTCCTCTGATTTTTAGAGATTAACTTTGTCTATTTTTTGTATAAAAAAGGATGCAATAAATTTGTTTAGTGTAACTGGTTGTGATTGTTATCTTTGTTTGAAGAGACCAGGGTTCAAATCTTGATATTGCTATTTTTATATGAAATAAATAATAAATGTGTAAAGACAAAAATGACCTTCCTACTTTCACTCTCGTTGCAGGAAATTTGAAATGGAGAAAAGTACACAAAACTCTACCATATATTAATGGAGGATTTGTTATGTGTTATTTGTATTAAAATATCATGGTCGGATGAATTATAAGTAGTAGCATCGTTGATACGGTATTTGAACAAATTTCTTATTATAAAAATTTATCCTTCTTAACATCATTTATTTCTCACTTGGTTGTCGTGTGTGCTTGTCTGGTCAATATATATATTAGTCACGGGCCGGCCAGTTGGCCGGATTCAGTTGTCAATAATGCAAATAACAGTAGCCATTTGTGTTTAGGTATATATTAGTATAAGAAAATCTAAGTTTTTCAAATACTTAAAAAATTCAAATCAATTGGGAGAATAAGTGAATCCAAATTATTAAAATAGTTCAACAATTCAAAAGAATGAACATTGTAATCTAACATAATAATGCCTAATTGACTAAAATCTTTTTACGAAGATGAAAGAAAACTCCCATGCAAGGGACACAAATGACTCTTCTAACTAATCCTCATCGTTATCTATTAGCGACACATTTATTTACAATATCAATTGATACTGCCTTCTTCTCTTAGATTTCAGTTATCTCTTCCGTGTTTTCCTCTATTTCATCGAGCACAAAAATTTGATGTTAAATTATATTTGCAAATACAAATCATCCTTTTCATTCGAGTAGAATTTACCTCGTCCAAGTTACGAACGTTATCCCATATTTGCTCTTTCTCCCCATCACCAGTCTGTATACCTTCCTCAAGAACAATGTTTTTCTTCTGCTCAACATGATCATCATCTCTAGGTACGGATCCATTACCTCCACATTAGTAATGTCATTTTTGTTATCTTGCATTACCATTATGAATTCAGATTACTGACCTTCAAAAGTACAACAATCGGGATGGATTTATAGAATCATGATTGGTCAATATATATTGTAGATAAAATTGTCGCTTGATATAATTGTTTGCAAGTTAGTGGGAAAGGAAGCAAAGCTCCAAACTCAATACATATCAGATCCTCCATATTTCCAAGAAGGCAGTGAAAGTCACCTTTGTAGCAAGGTCAATATGACTGGTAATTAACTAAATGTCAATTTTAATAATTAAATGTCAATTTTATAATTTACCTCGATCAAGTCAGGAATATTGTCGGTGGTCAGCTCTTCCTCATCCTTCACTATTTTGATAATTGTATACTCACTTGTTAGATTAGCGATGTAGTAACTTGTGAGCTTGATGTCGATTGGCAACATCATTCCCTCTATTTGTAGGAGATGAACATGTGGTGGTCCTCTAATTCTATCATTGTCTTGGTATAGCCTTTCAGCCGAGATTTAAAAAAACAACCTTCCACTCCATCCATAACAACAAAGTTAGCCTCTCTCGTTTTGTCTACAACTCGAAGGTTGATCCTGAATCTGTATATTGATGGTAATAACATAAAAAATTAAAATTGTTGAAGTACACATTACTTTTTAGGTGTTAAATAAAAATCTTAATAATTCAGTCAATAATACAAAAATAGTTTCATTAGGTACGATAGGTGGGCATAAGTTGTTTAGATATTTATTTAATACTTTAGTACGTACGTAAGGTTTTCGCTTGTATAAGTACCATGCATTGCTAATTATTAAGGAAAATATTCTTTTTTTATGCATTAGTAATATAATTTTTGAATTGTAAAATAAAATATAAATTATATTTTGAAAGATTAAATATTCAATGACTTGGCATGTATATTCATCAACGAACTATACCTAATCAAATTTCATGTTAATAATGGTTACATTACCTTGATGTTGTTGTTTTAATGTCTTTGTAGAATTCCCATAGAAGTACTCGGCGGACTCTTCTTCGAGTTTTTGTGGACAGGTTTCGCATCCAGCCTAACACCATCAATTCTTAACTTTGATAACTTTGCATTTGACGGAATACATATATATTTCCCTTCATATTACTGAAAGTGTTAGTATTTGTTAGCTAATGGGTTGTTGAATCGAATCTGATGCTTACCTCTTCTCCAACTTTCATTTTTAATTGATTGAGCTCATGTAGAGTTTTAGATGGGATTGACTGTTGAGTTTTTCATGTGCTTTTTATTGGAGAAACTGGTGCGTTGTCGGTACTTTAGATTTGTTGTGAATTTCTCCTTGGCCCAAAATTAATGACTTTTATAATTCTTGGATTCGCTAGCAGCAAGGTTGCTCCAATTGAGCATAAGGTGTTATCGCGTGCAAATTTAATGATCTTTGAATTAATTGTCATTAATTTATTTTCAAATGCTTGTATTAATAATAAAGTAATTTAGATGTATCTTTACCATTGTACTTATCAATATATAATGACGTAATGACCAGGATGAGAGGGTGATCACCCGCACTTGCAAGGATGTCATTTAATTGAGTAATTACAGGTAAAGTAATGCATGCTATTTTAAACGAAATGCCAAGAATTACATACTCTGGAAGTTTTAGTTGAAGCTCTTTGCGATTACCTTTTCCAGTGAGTCTAGTAGTTGTCACTAAATCCGAATACTAAATAAGCTGGCCAACAACATCTACGGAATGAAAATTTCTAAAAGCTAATGTATATGGGTGTACACGCATAAAAGTGAAGTAATTTTGAATTGAGAAAGTAATTTGAACCTGAAAGGAATTTCCTTTCTTTGCACTTGGAGTTAATTGCCAGTGTCATAGATGTACAGTTGAGAAAATTTTGGCCTGTTCCTTTCTGTAGGTATCAAGCTACCGATTCGATGATATACTTGTACACACTTTAAATGGTAAGATATAATAATGCTAATAAAAAAATTTGTACTTATATTTAATTTTTAATGAACGAAAAGTATTATTTTATTGTTTGGATGACTCTCCTCGTGAAGTATTAGGCATAGAACTACAAAAAATCAACTAAAAAGTATTCAGTCTAAATAATACAAGAAAAATAGTTGACAATGACAAACTTCTAACATGAGCATAATGGAGATATTTATATTCAAACAAATTACTACTACTACTACTATTTACCATGGTTAGTAAAATACGGTACATGTAAGTTGTGTATAAAATACGTACGGATATTTTACTTCGTCTCGAAACGAATGTTAGTATGTCAATAGTCATAAATATATAAAAATTAATTATTTTAAATATAAATAATAGTTAAGTTAACAATTCAATTCATTAAATACGGAAATTAACCGTGTTATATCATATATGGGGTTTTTACCTGTTTAGTACGAGAGTCACCAAATGAACGGGAAAAAATAAAACAACTTGACAAAAATACAGATACGTAAATTTTAAATGGATAAAATACATACAGATACATATATGTATTAAACTGATTATTTACTAACTATGCTATTTATAATCAAAGAAATAATATAAACTATTTACTAACTATGCTATTTATAATCAAAGAAATAATATAAGGAGCTGAGCATACTGAAGATTTGTAGTTCTATAATCAATACCATCCTTCTGGAATTTGTATGCTCATAATTGGGCCCACATCTGGAAATATAGGCCTCCATCATGTCACTTCAAGCTCCCATATTTGGTTAGGATCTGATCAAGTCAGTAACTCTATGGTCAGTAATCATGACTAATCTGTCCATATCAGCATGACATCAGTAGCCTCTCTCTCCTGGAAAGTCTTTTATCTTTTCCCCTTTAATCTTTAACGGACGATTTCTCTCTTGTTTTAAGTCGAAATATAATTTTTTTTTGCACAGATAAATCAGATTAAATATGCTCTTCAAAATGATATCCACTTTGATATATTTTTAGTACAAAAAAAAATTGAATAATTTTTTACCAGTCATTACCATATAGTATGCTCCAATTTAATACCATATGGTAAGAAAGCGTACCATGATGGTATGGACATGCCAATATGGTAAGAAGGTTGAATACATGATAGTATGAGTATATTAACTGTCATTTACGACTTTCATCATTGTTTACTACAAGTTACCACAAGTTACCAATCACATACCATAGTGGTAAAATATGGTAATTTTTTATCTAGTATTTTTTTCAATCAGATATATATAGATCCAATAGATCATGATAAACTCGTTCTTTCTAAGAAAACGTTTTAAAAAACGACTTAAAAAACAAGAAGTTACCATATGCTATGTAGTTGGTAAAAAACAATTTATCGAAATATATTGAAAATTGATCTCATTTTTTAGAGCACAACGAACTCGTTCCATTTGTGCAAAAATTATTGAAATCCGAGTTAGAACGAAGAAGATAAGAGCTAATTAAGAAAACTAGGGAAAATAAAATGCCTTTAATTGACAACCATTATATCTGAATTTTCTGGACCCACTTAAATCTAAAGGTCCAGATTTAGTTACTCATAGGTTAGTAACCTAAGCCTATTTGATGGCCGTTTTGTTTTTGTTAAAATTAATTTTAACACCTTTTTGTTTGTTTAATGATGCTGCGCGTGTAATTGCCTTCCCCAAACCCATCCTCGTGTATTTTATTTAAATGCCCCTCCGCCGTTTGCGCAGAAGGCAGAGGATTTTGAATTAATGAGGTTTCGGAGGAGAACCTCTATATAGGTGACTCGCTATGACACAACTCCTAACAATGGCAAAGTGTAACCAATGAAAGGACTGAAGTATAGTGGCTCAAGTAAATATCGAATCCACGGGTCTCTAGAGTTACTATTACTCAGCTTCAGTTCATTATCTAGCAAACCAGATTAAGATGAAAGAACTAAAAATACTCTAGAAAACTACAGTTAAAGTTAATCTAATTACAGGTTGGGAACTCACTTAGGTATGATTCCCCCTAGCCACTAGCCAGATTAATGATTGATGATCTCTAACCTGTTTCACTTTCATTCACAATGAGGAGAATCCTTGACTAGACCTTGAGTCTCGACTAAAGGAACAAGGCCCTCTTGAGTCGATTGCCTAATGGGACGTATCCTTCTCTAGAACAACCGATCAAGGCGTTCTGAACTAGACTCCCTCTATCGAAAGAGGTTCTCAATCTATACAAAGCAGTGAATCAACCCTCGACTAAAGCAATCGATCCACTACTATCAATCTATGGTGCTCTATTGACCTAATCAGGTATTCGCTCTCATAGGATCAAAGCAGAATCAATAATCTCGACTAAAGCAGAATTGAATCATGAAAACATGCATAGATTGAATATGAACTCAAGATTATAAAGTAAGAGTACTCATACAATCATCCAATCAAACAAACATAGCTAGGGTTCCTCAAAACCTAAGTGAATGGAAGTTACTCCATATAGAAGAGAGAGGCTGCAGTAAGAATCTTCAGATGATTAGTCTTCAAGTCCGGGCTTGTTCCTCGAGCTTCCAAGGCGAATAAATCCTCCAATTCCACTCAAAGAATACCCTCCAATCGCCCTCTCTCTCTTTGGTTCGTCCCTTGGGTGTTTGGGATCCCAAAACCCAGCTCTCCCTCTCCTTTGGCTCGAATTTGGGTTAAAACCCAGAATTTCCCAACTCACACGGCCGTGTGACTCTCCCAGGCTGCCCGTGTGAGTGTCAATACGCGGAGTTTCGATAAGTGGCTTCAGGCTTCCTACACGGGCACGACCCATACGGCCGTGTGGACTTCCAGGGTGAACGTGTGAGTTCCCGTGAATTTCCACACGGCCACAAGGGGTCCCCTACACGGCCGTGTGGGTTTTAGGCATGCTCGTGTGACTTCTCAGTGATAGACCGATAATTACACATACTTTCACCCCTATTCTTGAACCGTTTGAGAGGTTGACTCTCGGGTTTTAAGCTGATTTCACGCGAGGTTGTGTGTTTATGTCATATTTCAGGACCCGACGTTGGAATCGAGGCGAAGGAACGAGATTCGGGTCGAAAGGAGCAAGTGAGGATTGAAGTGGGCTGGAGGAAGAAAATACCCGGCCATGACCACAAATACCCGGCCGGGTATTATTCTGAGGAGACCGGGGATTTTCCCTTTTGGCGTCTGAGAAATAGGGGGGGTCCCGGTCTGGAAGGCAGAAATCCCCGACCGGGGATTATTGGATGAGACCGGGTATTTTCCCCTAGCCAAAACGTGCGTTTTAACTATAACCGGTCATGACCCAAAATACCCGACCAGGTATTTCGACCGGGTATCGCGACAGGCAGCTGTTTTAAGGGAAAAGAAGGCTGAAAATCAAGGGATTGGAGTTTTAGAGAGACAGAGCGATTCCTAGAGAGAGAAAGTGACAAACAAGAGTCTCCAAGTGCCCTAGCTTGATCTTCAACACCATTGGAGGCCAGTTTGAGCTTGGAGAAGTGCCGATCAATGTCCAGAAGCAGGGATCCATCCTTCACAGTATGAATTCCGCGTCTGGGTCTGGTTTTGCTTCTTTCTCCATGAAGTAGTTCTCCCATTCATCTGAGTATGGAGAACCCTAGATTTGTATGTTAGGCTTTGATTGTATGAACCCAAGTACTGATTCTATGATTTGATTATATTCGATTGAGGTTTGAATGATTGAATGACTTGAATCCTGATCCAATTCCTGTTGTTTCTGCTTTAACCTAGAATGATAATATCTGCCTAGGTTGATAGAGCATCCTTAATTGAAGGTAGGGAGTTGGTGACTTTAGTCGAGGAGCCAACTCACTATTCTGTACCGGATTTACTCCGGTAGTGGAGGTTTTGTTTGTTAAGGCCTCAATCTGTTTACTCCGGTGGAGGTTAGTCGCCCGCTAGAGACTCAGATTGAGAGGGTCTGAAGACCTTTAGTCGAGACTTCAGGTTGTTTAAGAACCTTCCGCAGTATAACTCTCATAGAAACTGAACTTGGTAATTACAGTCCGGCTTAACTGCAGTCTAGGGGGAACCATATCCGGGTGACCTCTCTTAACCTGAATACAACAGTTTACTTGCTTTGTTAGTTTGTTAGTTTAGACTTGCATTCAAGTTTCATTGCTAGATAACAAGAATTCACTGAGTAGTCATCAAATCTAGGACCCGGGTTGATAATTAAACCCAAACCCGCTATACTACGCTTTAGGAAGTGGTTACACTTGGCCAATTCCTAGAGTGACAGTAGAAGTGAGTCAAGTTTTTGAAGACAGAGCTATTCCTAGAGAGAGAAAGTGACGAACAAGAGTCTCCAAGTGCCCTAGCTTGATCTTCAACACCATTGGAGGCCAGTTTGAGTTTGGAGAAGTGCCGATCAACGTCCAGAAGCAGGAATCCATCCTTCACAGTATGAATTCCGCGTCTGATTCTGCTTTTGCTTCTTTCTCCATGGAGTAGTTCTCCCATTCATCTGGGTATGGAGAACCCTAGATTTGTATGCTAGGCTTTGATTGTATGAACCCAAGTACTGATTCTATGATTTGATTATATTCGATTGAGGTTTGAATGATTGAATGACTTGAATCCTGATCAAATTCCTGTTGTTTCTGCTTTAACCTAGAATGAGAATATCTACCTAGGTTGATAGAGCATCCTTGATTGAAGGTAGGGAGTTGGTGACTTTAGTCGAGGAGCCAACTCACTATTCTGTACCGGATTTACTCCGGTAGTGGAGGTTTTGTTTGTTAAGGCCTCAATCTTTTTACTCCGGTGGAGGTTAGTCGCCCGCTAGAGACTCAGATTGAGAGGGTCTGAAGACCTTTAGTCGATAGTTCACGCTGTTTAAGAACCTTCCGCAGTATAACTCTCATAGAAGCCGAACTTGGTAATTACAGTCCGGCTTAACTGCAGTCTAGGGGGAACCATATCCGGGTGACCTCTCTTAACCTGAATACAACAGTTTACTTGCTTTGTTAGTTTGTTAGTTTAGACTTGCATTCCAGTTTCATTGCTAGATAACAAGAATTCACTAAGTAGTCATCAAATCTAGGACCCGGGTTGATAGTTAAACCCAAACCCGCTATACTACGCTTTAGGAAGTGGTTACACTTGGCCAATTCCTAGAGTGACAGTAGAAGTGAGTCACTCAGCTTCTCACCAAACGTCCAAACTTCGTCCAATTGAACCCAAACTCGTTCACAAACCTTCATTCACGTACAAGTACCTGAAATATCACAAACAAGAACAACCTAGCGTGAAATCGGCCTAAAACGCGAGAATTGACATCTCAAACGGCTCGAGAATAGGGTTAAAAACATTTGAATTAACGGTCTATCAAACTCCCCCACACTTAACCGTTTTCTTGTCCCCAAGAAAACCTAACTCAAACCAATGCAACTCTCTAGACCTCAATAGCAACAAGCAACCCCGATCGTCGATAGAGGATTTCCTAGATCATATAGCAGCTTACGAGTTCAACTGGTTTTCTAAGACGTTCCCTATCTCTCTCAATGCGAGTACTAGACTCAAGCCAGGATCATGAGAAGCAGTGGAAGTAAGACAGCCAGTTCATGGATAAAGGGACTCACACCATTCACAATCAAGGACTCGCGATACCGAGGTGTTCTTTCACTTCATTTCACCGTTGGAACCCCTTTTTCACTTCCATTTTACTTCTTTTTTTCTCTTTTTTCATTCACTTAGCGGGGGTTCCAACTGCAGTCTTTCGCACGGTCGACTCTTATTAGTCGAGCAAGAGAAATTTCTGTACATCTGGCGCTCGCCAGAGTACTTCTTTTAACTCTTTTTCCTCAACTCATGTGGAGGGTCAATGAAATTAAGGGGGGTCGGAAGCTCTATCCGTGCCCTTAAAAACACATCCTCAAGTAGGCAAACCGTTCAACGGGTGGAAGGTTTACTTGTACTAGAGACAGCTTAGCTTCACCTTGTAGGAGTACCCCACTAAGGATCACTAAAATCTCTTCCAAAACCCGATTTTGTGCAATGAATGGTGCCGCACACGTTGGGCTTACCCCATGTTTAAGATTTAATGATTTCGACATGGAGGACCAACTGCTTTTCATTTTTCACATGAGAACCCTGTTCGATACACGAGTCCATAACACAATCCAAACAGAGTCACCATTACCACATGAAATCAACGGTCTTAGCACCACTAATTCACAAAATCAACTGGCACAACAGAGAGCTAGATAGGAAAAATCTTATACTTCAACATCCTCCATAGTGCTACACTACCTCCCTAGGTTGCACATTACTATAGAGACTGTCAATTCAAAGCATACTGAGCAGGCAATTTGCAAGGAAACACGTACTTGGAGCCCTCAAATTTAAAAATTTGGACAGTGGACTAGGCTCCAAGCGCACAAACAGGCAACATTCACCCGCATACATAATCGAACATCCCCCCCCCCCACACTTAAGCACGACATTGTCCTCAATGGAGGTAAGATAAGGAGGGTAGAACGAAGTTACCAGATTAAGGGTGAATGATGGTGGACGGGGCAGGTGGTGCATTCCAGGAGGAGAGAGTAGTCGGAACACAAATACCACAAAATCTCACAAAGGTTTTGTTATTGACTCTAAAATCAAATAACAAAACTGACTCAACCGAGGAGAAATAGAGAAAGAAATGCAAACCGACTGGTTGGGTTGCCTCCCAACAAGCGCTTCTTTCACGTCGTGAGCCGGACGATGGCTCCTAAGTTTCGGTCCACCCCAAAACCTCCTTGAAGTTGAGGTTCTCGTCGATGAGGTGGAGTCTCAAGTATCGAGCATGTGATATGACAGGTGATGGAAGCTCGTGCACTTGATGCAGATAACGTCTCCACCCTCGAAACCTCTTCTTCTCTTCTCTCGTCTCATTGCCCCAAACTAGATATGACAGCATCGATTGACCACCATCGCGTCCACCAAGAGGAACCGATGTCGATGTGGCCTTGGTTTGGCAAAGAGACACTGCAAATGGGTCCTTGCTAAGCAGTTCCTCGAAGTTTGGTGGGGATATTACTTGCAACTCATGACCGCTGCAGGCCTCTTCCACCTCAACTTCGTCCTCGGGCTAGACGCCAATTGCTTCTTCAACCTCCCTTCCTTGTTCATGTGGTATCACCCCTAGGAAATGATCAAGAACTCCTCCTGCTTCACTTTCGTCATCCTCCACAACTTCTTTCTGCACCCTTTCTTGCTCTTCTTCTTCTAGCACGGATTGGAGGGCAAGTCACCAAGCAATTTCTTTCATGAGATCTTCTTGCATCTCCTCACTCATGCCCGCCTCTTCAAAGCTCAGTTTGGGATGTGGGAAGGTGTGGTCGGCTACGACAGGACATTCCTGATCATGATCATCATGGGAGCTCTCCGTGACAACTTCTGTGTGCTCCACCATGTCCTTGTAGCCTTCTTCTTCCTCCTCCTCTTCTAGTATGGTAGCAGGAGGGTGATCTGGAGCAGGTTGTGCACAAGATCGCTCAAGATCATTGACGCTCTTCTTAAGGCTCAGTAGGATCTCCTCTGTTTCACGATAGGCCTGGATACAATGATCCATCCTGGAGCATGATCTCTCATTGTCTCGAGCAAACTGCTCCATGAGAAGCCTCAATTCATAGTTTGGATCTGGCTGTGGAGTGTAACATGGCTCTGCAGAATGGCCCATGAAGGCCACCATGGGTAACTGCAGCTCCGATGGCCCTTCTGGTTGTGGGAGAAATTCTTCTTGATAAGAAGGTTGTTCTTGATATGCCCAGGGGTCTGATTGTTCAACGTAGTAAGGGGGTTGGTACTGGAACCCGAATCCATAGCTTCTCCTCCTTGATTGCTCCAGGCGGTCTCGGGGTAATACCACTCGGATGGTGGTGGATACCCCCAATGATTGGAGAAGCCATGAGGATCCATGATCCAAATCTACACCAACAAAAACAAAAACACCCAAGTGAAAAGCAAGGGTGGAAAAGAAAAGAAAAACGCTAAAGTAACAAACTTCTAGCTTTCCTAATAATCTAAAAATTCCCCGGCAACGGCGCCAAAAACTTGACTCGCTATGACACAACTCCTAACAATGACCAAGTGTAACCAATGAAAGGGACTGCAGTATAGTGGCTCAAGTAATAAATATCGAATCCACGAGTCTCTAGAGTTACTATTACTCAGCTTCAGTTCATTATCTAGCAAACCAGATTAAGATGAAAGAACTAAAACTACTCTAGCAAACTAAAGTTAAAGTTAATCTAATTACAGGTTGGGAACTCACTTAGGTATGATTCCCCCTAGCCACTAGCCAGATTAATGATTGATGATCTCAAACCTGTTTCACTTTCATTCACAATGCGGAGAATCCTTGACTAGACCTTGAGTCTCGACTAAAGGAACAAGGCCCTCTTGAGTCGATTGCCTAGAGGGACGTATCCTTCTCTAGAACAACCGATCAAGGCGTTCTGAACTAGACCCCCTCTATAGAAAGAGGTTCTCACTCGATACAAAGGAGTGAATTAACCCTCGACTAAAGCAATCGATCCACTACTATCAATCTATGGTGCTCTATTGAACTAATCAGGTATTCGCTCTCATATGATCAAAGCAGAATCAATAATCTCGACTAAAGCAGAATTGAATCATGAAAACATGCATAGAATGAATATGAACTCAAGATTATCAAGTAAGAGTACTCATACAATCATCCAATCAAACAAACATAGCTAGGGTTCCTCAAAACCTAAGTGAAGGGAAGTTACTCCATAGAGAAGAGAGAGACTGCAGTAAGAATCTTCAGATGATCAGTCTTCAAGTCCGGGCTTATTCCTTGAGCTTCCAAGGCGAAGAAATCCTCCAGTTCCACTCCAAGAATGCCCTCAAATCATCCTCTCTCTCTTTGGTTCGTCCCTTGGGTGTTTGGGATCCCAAAACCCAGCTCTCCCTCTCCTTTGGCTCGAATTTGGGTTAAAACCCAGAATTTCCCGACTCACACGGCCAGGCCACACGACCGTGTGACTCTCCCAGGCTGCCCGTGTAAGTGTTAAAACGCGGAGTTTCGATAAGTGGCTTCAGGCTTCCTACACGGCCACGACCCACACGGCCGTGTGGACTTCCAGGGTGCCCGTGTGAGTTCCCTGTAATTTCCACAAGGCTACAAGGGGTCCCCTACACTGCCGTGTGGCTTTTAGGCATGCTCGTGTGACTTCTCAGCTTCTCGCCAAACGTCCAAACTTCGTCCAATTGACCCCGAACTCGTTCCCAAACCTTCATTCACGTACTAGGACCTGAAATATCACAAACAAGAACAACCTAGCGTGAAATCGACATAAAACACGAGAATCGATATCTCAAACGACTCAAGAATAGGGGTAAAAACATGTGGAATTAACGGTCTATCGATAGGTATGGTTTAGATTTCTTTATTAGATAACCTAGGAACCTCAGCAACCCACATGTCACATGAGTGACAGCGGGGCCTACTAAACCTGGGGGTACCTGCATACTAACCATCAATGATTTTTTCCCGGTGCAGTGCACGACGTACTGCTATCATCATTGGGGAGACTTCGTCTCCTGTACAAAGGGTGCCTCCGGGAACACCAAGAAGGTTGTACTGGGATTCGAACCTGGGACCTTGTCACATCCCAAACCCGAAACCCAACCCTTTTACCAACTAGACTATATTACCATCGTCCTGGTCAACATACATATGTTAATGTATTAATATGTACTTAAGTGAGCCCTTCATACCAATTTTCACTATTTTGAAAAAGGTACACACCAAATCTAGGAGAGTCTTGGGCATATCTTTCAATCGATGGCAACTTTGGAGGTTCATGATTGGCTAAGGTTGCAAAGTCTGACCTTCAGCGGGCTCTCTTTGTTTGTGGGCTTTGTCTTCTGTTTATTGATACATTGTTGGGTTTGTTTTAGGTGGGTTTATCTTTTTCTTTACTTTTCTTGTTTGCGGTCTTCCTTTGGGTTCAAGCCCACTCTATACACATCTTAGTTTTAGTGAAACTAAGATGTCAAAAATATAATATTTATTTAACAAGGGTGATACAACGATATAGGTTTTTACTTTTTGTGATTAAAATACTACTTGAGATTCAAACCTGTGACCTCCAGGTTCTAGGCTAGTGTTATTACCACTAGACCAAGTCCTTATTTGTAAAAGTGCACTCTTTTTATGCGATCTCTGCAAGAAGCTCGTCTACTATGATATGAAGTATTGGTACTTCCAGGTACAAGTCGAATTTGTAATATAACATATAAGGTACAAGTTCAATTTGTACTATAAAGGTTTTTGTATGAAAATGTGTAATTAAAATGCAAGTTAGATTTGTATATAATAACGTAATATATGTCACGACTGTCTTCTGCGGATCGGGAAATTGGAGAATTCGACAAAGCAAGAAATAACGAAAAACAGAAAGCACATGACACACGATTTACGTGGTTCACTAACATAATGTGTGTTAGCTAGTCCACGGGCAGGAGAGAGCCAGTTTCACTATACTTCGAGGAGATACAGATTACGAAGAAGTATGAGAAGTATTTATACTACTTCTCCTAAGTCTAACCCTAATCCAATCTAGTAAAGGAAAAGTGGTTACAACTAGGCCCAGAATCCGAACCTAAATAACAACGAGACCCCCGTGACTTCCAGTTGTAGTGGCTGATAGTTCGATTCAAGTCACATAAACAATATACAAGTTCAATTTGTACCCTAAAAGTTTTTGTACGAAAATATATAGGTTCAAGATCAATTTATATCATATTGTTAAATGTACAAATTACCGTTTTTCTTTATTTTTAACGTAAACACCGATAATAATCGGTATCATAAAATTCCTGTTATTTGCGTAAACACCGATAATAATCGGCATCGTAAAATTCCTGTTATGCAAATACATTGAACAAACAATATTTATTTTTGGAAGTAGGACTTACTTGCGTCTTTTGGAGTTGATGAAGTCGTCGGGACGTTTGACGACTTTGAAGTACCAAAGAAAAGTAAGCATCTCCCCCAAGAAAGGAAAACCCATGTGGCCGGCGGGAAGCCTGATTCCGGTGCCAGACAGCTGGAACTTCACCGGCAACGCATACCACACCTCGTTCCACCACCACGCTACCAGCCCCACAACCGGCAGTGCTCCTACCAGCACACCCATCGCCACCGTCACCTCCATATATATGTCGGAAAATTCTTATAAGAATATTGTTGTTTTTAAGGAAACATAATTTAATATATATGTTAGTTCGACTTTTTCTATGGTTAAGTTGATATATCATGATCACTACATATATTTATGAATCCAGTGTATTGTAGATTACATCATTAAGTATGGTATTTTTCACAATTAAAAAGATATGCCAATTTTTAACGAAAATATCATTCGTAGTTTGCATATTTTGTTCTCACAAACAGCGCTGATAAGATTGGTATAGTTCAACTTGATAGTGAGATTCGACAGATTATTTCTGTTTTCAACAATATGTATAGTGATTTACAGTTTGTTTTTTGCAAGTTTCTCACAATAAAGGTGGTGTCAGAACAGAAGCGTGCAATCAATAATCCAAACCAGCACAAACGAACACAAATTTAACGTGGTTCACTAACACAATGTGTGCTAGCTAATCCACGGGCAGGGAGGACAAATTTCACTAATTTGAGGAGAGTACAGATTACAAACCAAATTCCAAACAGACAAACCAAACAAACTAACCTGACTGACCTTTTTACAGACTAGGGTGATGAAGAGTATTTATAGAACTCTTCTCCTAATCCCAAACAGAAAACCAAACACCTTTTCCCAAACATACAAGGAAAAGGTCAAACAAAACCCAATCTCAAACCCAAACAGAATAGGCCTAAAACACAAAACAAACCCAAATCAAATTCAAGTCATATTCTAACAATCTCCACCTTGACTTGAATTCTCTCTCAAATACCAGATGTACCAGACGCAACCAATGTTGCCAGATGTACCTAGACGCGATCCATATCGCCAAACTAAAACGCGATGCAAATTGCCAAACTCAGACGCAATCAGAATTGCCAGACGTACTAACTCCTCCAAATCAGTTGTAACAGAATCTCCCCTGCCTCCAAATTCCCCTAAGGGCGGTTAACAAATCAAAACATGCAGCAAGTCCAACCCATGTTGGGACTTGCCATGCAGAACCAACTTGGCTTTATTTCCGTGCATAACACCAACATCAAATTTACTGCTAACTCCAAGCCTGCAACTCCAAATTGACTTCTCGATCTTCATACTGATAGCAACCATTCTTACTATCAAACAAACTCCAACTAAACTTCTCACCAAACAAGCGAGACCAAAACACAACTACCCAAAGTCAACTTCAAAGCGATTCCTCCACCGAACCAAGCTAAAGAATTGAAAGCTACCTCCACAAAGCAAAACTTCAGTCCAGCAACAAATTCCCAAAACCGCAACCAAAAGCTCTGATACCACTTGTTAGAACAGAAGCGTGCAATCAATAATCCAAACCAGCACAAACGAACAGAAATTTAACGTGGTTCACTAACACAATGTGTGCTAGCTAATCCACGGGCAGGGGGGACAAATTTCACTAATTTGAGGAGAGTACAGGTTACAAACCAAATTCCAAACAGACAAACCAAACAAACTAACCTGACTGACCTTTTTATAGACTAGGGTGATGAAGAGTATTTATAGAACTCTTCTCCTAATCTCAAACAGAAAACCAAACACCTTTTCCCAAACATACAAGAAAAAGGTCAAACAAAACCCAATCCCAAACCCAAACAGAATAGGCCTAAAACACAAAACAAACCCAAATCAAATTCAAGTCATATTCTAACAAGTGGGTAAGTAGATTGTCCAGCTACTACATTTTCGAACCTTAGATCAATTTGATCGAAGGTTGAGCTTAATGGAAACAATTAGTACCGAGAATTTTTTCCCACATTTGAAGTCTTCCTATTTAAAGGTTAAAATCGAAAAATAAAGAACAATATCAACTCAATAATCTCATATATTCCAACTACAAACTTAGATTGTAATATTATTTATTTTTAAGGATAGTTTCTGTCACATGAACCTAAACAATACATATATTATGTGAAAAATAAAATAAAAGTTGTAAATTTTTAATTAAAAGGAAGAAGGTAGATGATGGTACGATTGATTCAAATTTTTTTATTATATATATATAATTAATATCATTTTGTATAACTAGTCCGAAAAATATTAGAAATACATATAATTTAGTCCGAGAAGCAGTTCATTGGTGTAGTGCGGCTGGGTTTACGGATGTACGGTTTGAAGGGGATGCCCAGGTGATAATTGATAAGCTCATCCATTCTGAGGTCAGGGATAGCCGGATTGGAGCCCTTCTGGAGGAAGTTCTGCATTGCTTATCCAACCATAGCGGATTTAGTGTACGGTTTGTAGGTCGGCGTAATAATAGGGTATCCCATTTGGTGGCTCGAAAGGCCCTGTTTTTGTACCCGTCTGCAAGTCGTTTCTTTGATTTTTTGGTCTGGCTCAATTCCAGGATGTAACTATTTCTGATCAATATATGATTACCTTTTGGTAAAAAAAAAAAAAACATCCATCTGCTAAGACCCTGTGTCCGAATTTTAAGAGCAACAGTCAACACGAAAAACTGTATTCAAAGAGATTTGAGCCGTATCTTATAATCATTATCTAAAAAAGTCCTGTAAAAATGAATTCATAGTGTTCAAACATGAAGATATTTTCATTCCCAAAATATTAACAATTATACTCAACCTGTATATTGCCAATACTATAATCCATCATAAGGTGTCGGGTAATTAAGTTCATGAATCGTCAACAAGAGACGAGCCCAAAGATATAAACAACCATATAATCTTCATTAACATTTGATCGTGACAACACACTCACTTATCCTCTCATCTACCCTGGATTTGGCATCATGCTTAGTGGAATCCAATTGCAACGGTACCCAGTATCAGATCCTAATCATTTTTAATCAGCGACATCCTAACTTGTTCTGGATTCAAATAATTTTTAAGCAGCGGCATCCTAACTTGTTCTGGACCACATCATTTTGAAAATATTTTGAGCAGTGTCAAATCGATTTATATTATTATGTCGGTTTGTCAAATAGTATTGTCCGACGAACGAACGATATGTACAATTGATTTATTTTGTTTGGCACATAGGGGTGGTCTAGTCCACCTAGTGTGATGGTGTAGAGAGGTTCGTTTGTTGCTGTTCGCGTTATGTTCTTTCTGGATTTGGATAAATGCTCTTGATCCATGTACCTTTTTCTTCTTTTCTTTTGATTTAATAAAGTCATCTCCATTATAATTTTTTTTTTAAGAAAATCTCTCTAAAACCTACGTCTCTATTTAAATAAAATACAACATTCCATACAAATTGAAAAACAGCTTCATATTAAATTTACAACATTTAACGCCAACATCGAAAAGTTTATACTTGAACCCAACAAATAAAATAAGCATCTAATCATTTATACTTGAATCTAATTAATAACATCAAGTGTTAACTTTCAATTCAAGAAAAGAAAATCAATTTTTTATTTATTATCGAAGGTCGAAAATCAATCATGTCTGTTATAACAGAGACATTCCAACCGGTTTTGTAACTGTTATCTGCCGAACCCCATTCTACCGGTCGGCATGCCATCGACATGACTATCATGCTCTAAATTATTACAAAAATAATAATGATAAATAGTAGGGTGTGCCTGCGGTGACATGCATATCACGGTGACTTGCACTTTCTGGTCGACCTCAGTTAGGATTAGGTCGACCTCATTTAGAATTCGGTCGACCTCATATAGAATCTGGTCGACCTCATTTTGAATTCGGTCGACCTCATATAAGATCAGGTCGACCTAATATGTTATTTAAATGTAAAAACAGTTCATGGTGCCTACTTTAGATATTCATATCATACAATTGGCTAGATGGAAATTGAAGACTAATGACTTGTTTTGAAGTTGGAGTGTCCCTCTACATATTGAAGTGGAAGAGAGCTCGATAGGAAGTCTAGAAGACCATTTTTGAACCTCATCAAAAGGCTATGCCAAAACTGGGAAACTGCCTGGAAATGGCTAAGTCTGGAAACGTGTTTGTGAAGCCTATTTTGGAGCTCAATTCCAGAAGCATGAATGCGAGTCGAGTCCAGGAGTCTCTACCACGTTAAATTATGTATGTTTTTATACAAATTCAAGGAATTGGATGAAAAATTGGATATCTGTAAGGCTTCAAACAAAAGGGTCGAAGTTGCTACGAAGGCTGTTTTTCTGGCAGACTTCGAGCACAAGCAAGCTGCCAGAAAAACAGCCTTCGCAGCAACTTCGATACTTTTGTTTGAAGCCTTAAAGATATTCAATAAATCCAATGTCTTGTCTTTGTATAATAAAATACGTAATTTAACGTGGTAGAGGCCCCTGGACTTGACTCGCATCCATGCTTCTCAAATTGAGCTCCAAAGTAGGCTTGACAAACACGTTGCCAGACTTAGCCATTTTCAGGCAGTTTCCCAGTTTTGGCATAGCCTTTTGGCCAGGTTCAAAAATGGTCTTCTAGACTTTCTATTGAGCTCCCAAGTACTTTAATGTGTAGAGGGACACTTCAGCTTCAAAACAAGCCTTTAATCTCCAATTTCCATCTAGCCAATTGTAAGATATGAATCTACAAAGTAGGCATCATGAAACTGTTTTTACACTGAAACAACAGATTAGGTCGACCTAATATATGAGGTCGACCGAAAAGTGCATGTCACCGTAGCAAAATCCTAAATAGTATTTGTACATAATCCACAATACTCGCATCCGGGTACTTCATGTTCACTTGTTTTACTTGTCTATCAACAAACGATAGAGAAATTTGTGGTACACCGTACACATTAACCTTGCATATCATATAAATAGCTGTAGATTTTACATATCAATCTCTCCAAAATTGTTTATTTTAATTTCACTAATTTCTAATATAGAGTCGAATTTGCCACCCTCAACCCAAAATTTATCGATAAATTGTGAAAACACGTCGTTGATCATTTAAATATTAATAAAAATCATTTAAATGTTAACAACAAATATATATCACATAGAAAGAGTTTATTTCATCCATTCTCGTATCAATAGTTGGCATAGAATTAAGGGGTTAATACCCTAGTTTGGCCCGAAGTTTAACGTAAGTGTCAATTTTGGCCCGACTTTTCTAATAAGACATTTGTGGCCTACTTTGCAAAGTATTGGACAAATTTGGCCTGAAACTTATGTTGACTGTTAAAACTAACGGTCAAACCCTATTCCGTTAGTAACACAACAAAAAATAGCTAATGTGTCATTCCATGTCACTAAATACTATTACTTTAATTTATTAATATAATATAAAAAATTATCAAATTAAAAAAATTCCTTCTTACTCCCCTGTACAATTTTACCCCCCAACCCCCATAAAAAAAATTACCCCCAACCCTAAATAAACCAAACCCGCAGCCTATTCCCCCTCATTCAGGGGCGGATACATGGGCATCTAGGGGTGTCCCGGGACACCCCTAAAATTTGGGGAAACGATTATCTAACCTCCGGTAGTAGTTTCGTATGAGTATGCAAAATATAATTGATAATCCGGGACACCCTAACATTTGAAAAAATGATTATCCTACCCTCAATAATAGTTTGCTTATGATTAACAACATATAAGTGGTAGTCCGTGTTATTCCAACCTAGGACACTACTATTATCAAACATATTCTAATTATGTTGCTACTCACTTGTTATTCTATATTAAACTATTTTCTTTATCTCCAACTATTTTCAATACCTAATAATTAAACTACGTACACGCTACCCTTAATTTTGAATTGATTTTATGGTTACACGGCAAGTGTTGAAAGAGTATTTTCTACTTTGAGCTACATTAAGAACAAGGTTAAAAATCGAATATGTGATAAGTTCGTGAAGTATTGTCTAGTAGGATATGTAGATTTTTGTTTAACAGTGCAGACACGGAGTTTATTTATATTATTTTTTCAAAATATGAATTTTAATTTATTATTTAATAAAAAAATTATATAAATTATAAAAGTATGATATTTTTAATATACGAATTATTTAATTTATTTTATAATTAACTTTAATTTTTGAAGAGGACACCCCTGTGAAAATTTTCTGAATCCGCCACTGCCCTCATTCTCCCTTACCCAAATCGCAACACCAAATAAACCCAGCGCCGCCGTCAATTTCTCCCTAGCCCTGACGAAAATTGCCGCACTAAATTAATCCCACGACCCGCCGCTTGAGAAGGCCTCACCAGCCACATCCGGTTCGAGACAATCTCGACGACGATGCCACCCAGGACATGACGTTGTTGTCCAAGCTAGCTCGCCGCCGTCACCATCATCTCTGTTGTTTCTTCTGCTCTAGAACCGCCCCGCCGCCTACAAGTTCGGCAACGAGATCGGAAAATTCGGGACAAGGAGATCGGCAATCCATCCCCTTCCCTCTGATGATTGTTAGGGATTATTTTTGGGTGGCGGGGAGTGAATTGAGTTGTGATTTACTTGTGAAGGGAGGGAGTTAGGTGGAGATTGGAAAGTGTATTATATATATATATTTTTTAAGTTTTTGGTTTTTTATTTTTACAATTTAAATAAATGATGTGGCAACTACCTCTGATCCACCACAGCATTTTGATGCTGAGTCAATAATGGAAAACTAGTTGACCGTTAGTTTTAACAGTCAATATAAGTTTCGAGTCAAATTTGTCCAATACTTTGCAAAGTAGGCCACAAATGTCTTATTAGAAAAGTCAGGCCAAAACATATATTTACGCTAAACTTCGGGCCAAACTAGTGTATTAACCCTAGAATTAAACACTTAGTTTGACATACATTCACATTATCCGAACATGAAAGAGCCATCGACTACATAGGAAGGTCCACAGAATGAAAAAGGAGAGGATAGTCTACACATTGAAGAAACTCGTTATACAAGGTCGCTCGCCGGCCGGGGACGGAAGAACTTAAACTGACGTCAAAGTGCGGCGATCGAAATCTCCACGCCGTCGGTCGGAATCTGATGTGATAGGTAAATCATTGGAGCATTAGGATTCAGCAATTCCCACCTGCAAGTATACACATTATTAATCAATTGTCACCACAAATTATATGATGATGAAGAACCAAAAACCATCTTTATGGCACTAATAATTACTTGTATCCCGTGGACAAGTGATGGAGAAAGATTGCAATTTGTATCCTGGCCAGCATATTTCCGGCGCAGATTCTCGACCCTCCGCCAAACACTTGGTACGCTCCTGGGGTTATTGGTACCTTATCAATTGATCCACCAGATAACATCAACATCGGTTTAGTATTTTGGTATAATCTTCTAGCTTGTCAAAAAATATGAGTTTAGTATACGAGATGCTTACATTCCATCGGTCTGGGTTGAAGCACATGGGATCCTGGAAATTTTCGGGATTTGTATGCGAATATCGGAGCCAAAGCGCGACGTTCCAGTTTTTTGGGATTCTGTAGCCTGTAGGTGGATAAAATTTCGAAACCTACTTAATCTCAATTGAAGGGTAGTTATAAAATGAATTAAAAAAAACATTTTTATGATGCTTAGTTATAACTTATTAGTACCTTTGTACTCCACATCTTTCGTGACCAATCTGAAAATAAAAGCTGCAATGTTGGCCATCCTCATTGTTTCTTCCACCACCTGATCATAAAAGTCAATTACAAAAAATCTACTGTTAGTTGGGAAAGTTACGACAATGCAAGTAGGGATGGCAATCAAATCCATGCTCATGGGTATCCGACCGTCCCCGATTCAGTCAATGCGGGGAATTTCCGCATTGACAGTGTATGGGTAAAATCCGCAAAAAGTTTGATGGGTATGGATGGGGTGGGTATGATTTTAGCCTCCCCAGTCCCAGCCCCATACGCGCCCCACCAAAAATATTTCTTCACATATGAAAAATATATAGTAGAAATGCAATTCAGTGACCACTCTCACTCAAAATCAAAATCTAACTTCTTTCTCTCAATTTTCCTTTCACTCTTTCACTTTTTCCCCTTGTTAACAAGATTATATTAGTTAATTATTACTTACTAGATGTATTAGCGTAGAGAATAATGATTTGGATGCCATTGTACTCTACTCTGATAAGGATTAATGGATGTTTTAGTATAAGATGCTTTGAATCGTATTAAAATTTTTTTGTCTCTTTGTCGACTTCATGATATAGTAGGTGCGTTTAATGTTATAGTTGAAAATCTACATGTAAAATATTCGGTATTATAATGCTGGATGTTTGGGGCGGGAATTACCCATGGGTATGACGATGGGTTTGCAAAATCTTCCCCCGCATGGGTATGAGGCGGGTATGGGTATAGATATTTAAAAGCGGAGAAGATGGGGATGGTTTAGGCAAACCCGCCCCATTGCCATCCCTAAATGCAAGGATAAATTATACGAAGAAGTTAACCTTTTTTGTGTACTTGAGGTGAGAGATATCGTCACTTGTGATGAACTCTCCAGCAGCCTTGTTCTTGCGTAAGGTCGCGTTCTCCTCCTATATAAGCGTACAAATACCAAACCATAAGCGAATTTTGTCACGCTCTGATGTTCAAAACTTTGGGCAACATATATAGATCATTTCGAGATTATACGTAAACGTACCCTTAGTTTCTTGAGAACGTCAGGGTACAAGGCAAGGTAATAAATAGACCACATGATAGAAAGGGAAGTGGACTCGTAACCCCCAATCACATGGTTCACGATATTGTCCAGCACTTCCTGCTCACTCAATCGATTCCCTTGCTCATCCTGGCTTCTCATCAACCCGTCCATTAAGTCATCTGTCTTGGACTCCAACCCATCTAGCTCCATCTTCTTCCTTTTCTCTAGCTCTTTCCTGAATACGTCCATCGCTTTCTTCCTGCACTGCCACCATCGAATAATTTGTGGATCCGCCGTCGGTAAATTTCGTCAGAAAATATATAGTATAAACTCGAGTTATTGAAATTAACTGGGTTTTGACAAATCCTATCTAGCGATATATAGGGAATGTAAGTTACTAAAAAAGAAGATTTTATATAATAGATATACAACCTGAAGCGCGTGGTGATATGCAGTTCCGGGAATCTTGAGAGGTTGAGCTCTAACCCCTTTCACTATACCCTTGAATAGTATCTCGATGGCGTCTACCTCTGGCCCTGGCTCCAAACTTGCAAACAATCTTCCAATGTTTTCAAATGTCACCTGCGAATTCAGATACGGAAGTTATTACTTCGAAAACAAATATTAGCGTCTAAACACGCAAGTAACTAGTAAGGGTATGCGATGGTTAGGTCCGGTCCGGACAAAATCTAACTCATGAGAACCACGATCTATTAGTGAAAGACATCTTAGGATCAAGGATCAGACCATCAATGCATTTGGTCCGGTTCGATCCGATCCAAATATCAGTTCGGTCCATCATTTTTCAAATAATTATAAGATTCATGTGGATCAAAAATCGAACCGCATTATACTCAGACCGGTCCAAACTTTGGTTTGGTCCTGTACGGTCTGATACAGACCGGACCATCCCACACTCTATACGCCTATTTGAACCCGGATCAGTACAACTGATTTTTCGTTCCCTTAATTTTTTTTTCTTCCTTCATGCGATTCATGTTACCTTCTTGACTTGTTTGTAAACGTTGACTCTGCCAGTTTGGGCCCAGGATTGCAATTCAGCAACTATGTTCGGCTGGACGAGGGATGCGATTCGTCGAAGAGCATCGGGCCGGTTGATAGCATTGGTGAGGAAGCTTCGGAGCCTGGTGTGGCTTGGCCCATGTACTGCCACGAGGGAAGTTGGGCCAAGAAGTTCCACGCTGGGCCACCCGACGATAAATTCGTCGTCTTGCTGGTACACGTACTTGCTCACCGCCGGCGCAAATGCTATGATCGTCGGTCGGCCGAACAAGTGGCTTCTGAATAAACCTGCTCCATCGCCATACCTGTCTCCATATAATAACTTACGTAAGGGTTCAAACTCACCATTCATATAATAAACTCATCATCTTGAAGTGACACGATGATATTTTGTCAGTTCATTAAAAACTCACTTCTTGTTATTTAATTATACGTTATCGGTATAATATATCCCTCTACTATGCCGTTTTATCAAACATGCTACTCTACTATTTTTTACATCAAACATGTCACTGTACTTTGGGAAAATGATCAAACGTGCCCTTCTGTTAAAATTTTCATCCAAAAATCGTCAACCATGGTCGAACCTTGGTTTGGGCGACAAAATGTCTAAAATATCCTTGATAATTTCACTTTAGAATTGTTTGGGTTCTTTTATAGTGCCAATACCTCTAATAATTTCACTTTAACAAGACTTCAAAAAATAAATCGAGAGAAAAAACTGACATTTTCCCTCCCATTTACCGATGTCGGGTCATCTAAATCTCGGTTCAACCATTGTTGACGTTTTTTTTTAATGAAAATTTTAACAGAAGGGCATGTTTGATGTAAAAAATAGTAGTGGGGCATGTTTGATAAAATTGCATATAGAAGGGCATATTATACCTATAACCCTTAAGTTTTTATAAAATTAATTTATTACACCAAAAAAGAAATCTCCAATTGTAATTATTTTTTATTCTGGAAAATGAAACACCTAATTTCAATTTCGGACTCCGTCGCGGTTTACATAGTAGCAAGTAGGGTTGGAAATCCGATCCCGGTTTTCCGGTCAAACCAAAAATCGGCCAATTTAAATAGTGTCGGTTGTAACCGGAAACCGGATCTCAACCAATCCAATCCAGTTTGCGTTTGTAATGCCCACAATCCCGGTCCGCCCCGGTTAAAACCGGAAAAACTAGATAACAATAAATAAACAAACCCCAGCCCAGCCCGCCCCAGCCCCCAGCCCAAGCTCACCCCCGCCCCCAACTCCCACCACTCTAAAGGCCTAAACCCTAATCGCCGCCTCCTCTATTTTCACTCTCTCTCCCTCTGACCCTCAAGCTTCTCTCGTTTCCAATCACCGACCCACCACACAAGTGTAGGAGAAGAAGAAAATCCGAGCGACGGCGATGGTGAGTGGTGACGGCGATGGCGACGGAGCTCTCCAAATTCCCAGCGATGGCGATGGCGACCGAGGAGATATGATCGCTCGACAAGCGACGGGCGACGGCATGCATCGCCTCTCCAGAGTTTGCATGCTGCCTTTCTCGCTGGATCTCCCCTTCCCGGCTCGCGCGACTCCAATCGCATCTCCAGCTCCAACTCTTCTCGCCTCTCTAACTTCTATCGAGCTCATAGGCATATCGAGCCAGAGGAGTGCTCGAGGGAGAAGAAGGCGATGCTTGTGTGTATTTGGTTTGATCCAGAAGAGGGAGAAGGAGAAGAAGAATCACGAAGGTAGATGGAAAGGAAGAATTGTGAGAGGAGCAGCGGCGGAGATGGAAGTTGGGGGAAGGTAAGGGAATCAATTAGGGATTGTGTGGTTGGTACTTGGTAGGAGACGAATAGGGTGATTTTTTGTCATTCAAACGGCTGTGTTTTGGGATGGAAGAAAGAAATAAGGTTTTTCGGTTAAAATCCGGTAATAATTCAATCCCGTCTTCGGTTGTGGAGTTCTCCAATACGATTTTAAAAAATAGGGTCAATCCAGTCCAGTTTAAACCGAACAAGACTGTTTCCCGGCCCTTTTAGCAAGTATATAATGAATTAGATAAATTACATCAAACTTAAAAGTACAATATGGATTGGTGGTAGATAGATGGTGGAAAGTGGTTAGTATATTCCTACTACTAAGCTATAGTATTATATGTTTCTACCATCATGACACACATACTATCATGAATCTTATGTGCTATCAAACTTTACCAGCGTATAAAATAAATCCGATTATGTTTTTGCAACTATCTAGTCATTGGATTTCCAAGATTAATCTATACACTGTTCTTAAAGAAAAGGCTTACTTGCGTCTTTTGGAGTTGATGAAGTCGTCGGGACGTTTGACGACTTTGAAGTACCAGAGGAAAGTAAGCATCTCCCCCAAGAAAGGGAAACCCATGTGGCCGGCGGGAAGCCTGATTCCGGTGCCGGACAGCTTGAACTTCACCGGCAACGCATACCACACCTCGTTCCACCACCACGCTACCAGCCCCACCACCGGCAGTGCTCCGACCAACACACCCACCGCCATCGCCACCGTCACCTCCATATGTCGGGGGAATTTCTTCACACAAGGCAGATAATAAATCTCAATAAAAACTCTACGCCACTACCCTTATAATTAGCTTCTGTCCACCTCTCTCTCTGTACCTGTTGGGCTTATATAATTTTTTGGTTGAGCATATGGGTGAGCATTAGGATTAGTAAAACTGAATTGCTATTTATAGCCCTAATTTTTTTTATTTGTATCACTAGGAGAATGTAATTACTATTTTACACTTTCTTCCTTTTAAAATATTGAACTTGTTACAACTCCAACCAAACACTCCCTTCTCTTCCAATTCAACTGTCGCCGGATTCCACCCAAATATTCTCGCTGGCGACGACGAGCTCTCGCCGGAGACGACGAGCTCTCGCCTGAGCCCGACTCGCCCCTTCTCTCCCGTCACCGGTTTCCTCTCAAATACGACGACCACCTCTCACCGGAGACGACGACCTCTCGCTGGAGACGAAATCAGAGCGCTTCGGAGGTAATGTTTGATTTTTGCACGAAGGAGGTGACGACCGGCAGTTTGACCCGCCGCCGTCGCCCTCGCCGGCGGCGGTTAAAACGAAATTTTTTTCGTTTAATTTAATTTAGGTTAGTTATTTATTTTAATTATTATGATTTAATGTAGGATAATTATCTACTTTAAATTAATTTAAAAAATTACTTAAATTATGTCCTTTAATTATGTAGGCTAATTATATGCTTTAATTATTATGATTTAATGTAAGTTAATTATCTGCTTTAAATCAATTTAAAAAGTTACTTTAATCATCTCCTTTAATTATGTAGGTTAATTATATGCTTTAATTATTATGATGTAATGTAGGTTAATTACTCTAATTATTTGCTTAAATTATGTAGGTTATTTATCTGCTTTAAATATGTTAATATTTAATATATACGGAAATTATGTCGGTCAATGTTTTCATTTAATTGAAATTAGATAGGAAAGGTAAATTTTAATTGATAAATATAAGAAAGTTTAATAATTTAAATATAGAATTTTATTTCATGAAAAGTATTAATTGTTGTACGAACCTTAAATTGCAATTGACTATTTAAGCAAGAAAATTAAGTTAAATGATGCTTATCGTGAAATAAATTCCAATTTCGAACATTATATTGTGATGGAAATTTTATTGTAATTGAAATTATATACGAATTTTAAATTATAATAGACAATTTAAGCAAGAAAATTAAGTTAGAATTTATCGTGAAATACATTATAATTTCGAACTTTATATTGTGTTGGGAATTTTATTGTAATTGAAATTATATAAGAATGTTTAATTATAATAGAGAAATATATGAACCTTGAACAAATGAATATAAAAATTTATTATATGAGAACTAGCAATTATCATATGAACATTGCTAATAACTATTACATGATGATAATAATCTGACAATAATTTTAATTCAAATTTTAATAGGTAGAAAGTGGTGGATACAAGAGGAAAGAAGAAGATGAAGGAGGTAGAGCCGTCGAGGGTGACCAACCGTATAGTATTGAGGTTGCATCGTGAGGTAGCCGAGAATGAGCGTCGACGTGCTAGACTTGTGGAGAATCCTTCTCCCCCGCCTCCCGTGCCTTTTGACTTAGATAGAGCTTTTGAGGGAGTGGATGAGTATGATGGCAGTGATGACAATTATGATGACTTCCCGGATGTAAATGATGCTTTCTTCGAGAGCAACCATCCGAGTGCAGGTGGTTCTAGTGGACCTAGATTAGAGCCCGAGGCTCCTTTTGTGTCTTCTTCGTCCTCTCAGTTTGTTCATGTTAGACGTGGGCCTCGTGGTCGTTTTGAGTCATCACGACCCGATTCGGAGGAGGGCAGCACTAGTAAGAGGAAGAAGGCGAGAGAAGCTGATTCGTGGATTCTCGACAGGAGTGGGCCGGGGGGAGGGGGGGGGGGCTATCGATCATAGCCTGATTCCTAGTTTTGGAGGTCATGTGGCTTATCGATTATGGGATGATGGTTTAGGGGCTCGCCGAATGGATTCATTCAAGTTGTCGATTAGAGCATTGGCAGTCAATTATTTGAAAAATTACAAATTTCAGAGTGATGGTGCTGCAGCATTGGTTGAGAGGACAGGGTTGTGCAAGTTGTTGGACTGCTCGATCCAGCACTTGGACGGACCTTTACTTGTGGCGTTTGTGGAGAGGTGGCAGCCTGACACCAACACCTTTCACATGCCTTTTGGAGAGATGACCATCACGCGCCACGACGTTGCAGTGTTGCTTGGGATTCCAGTCGGTGGAGATATGGTTGTAGGGAATGAGAGTGTGAAAGCACAGTTGTGTGAGATGCTGAGGGTAGAACAATTGAATGAACGATCCAAGCCTTCGCTTAAGAGTGAGTACAATACTTTTGGTTGATAGTTTGCATCATTTTTCGAGGAGGAACACGAGCCCATTCCATCTCCTTCATATCCTTTAGCTCTTCATTAGTAAAAGCATTCCTCTGAGTGTGGCCTTCGTGATAAAGCTCTAATGCATGATTGTGAAACCCACAAAATTGTCCCGGATTGTGATTGTCCTTCACACCATCAATCATCCAAGTCTTATCCTCCGGGAGTCCCACCAGTCTCACTCGAAAACGACAACCATCTTTAAGTGACTTTGTGTTGGATCGTCCTTTCTTATCCGGGTCTGGGACATATGTATTGTTCTTATATCCACGATGGCAGTGAAGATATATTCGGGGGTACTTCTCGCCATCATTTGATTTGGTTGATGAATGTGTCAAAAAGAACCCAAGATCTTTTGCAATCACTTTCGCAGCTTCCACAGCTTCATTCCCTGACTTATATCTTGTATTTGTTATGAAAAATTGAGTATAATCAACTTTGTCTCCCTTATCTTTCGGATCTCCCTAAAATAAACACATTTATCTTATTAGTGATACTAATTTTAAAATGTTTGTTGTAGATTAAATTATTCCAATTTGATATAGATTGAGTCTTACATAAGTTTCAACACTTTCATGACTTGTAATGTTTGTTGTAAATTGAATTCTTATAATTTGAAATGGATTGAGTCTTATGTAAGTTTTAGAAAATTTGATGACTTGTTTGCAATATTAGATTTTATATTTATCTTCTTATTAAAAAAATATTAAACACGTTATTAACAATTATTCAATATTCGAACATAAACTAATCTAATACATTTTCAACAAAAAATTAGCACATTTAGCATGATTAACTACCAAATCCTAATATTTCAACATGCAATAAAAAAGTTTTTAACAAGTAGACATGTACTAATTAAATTATCTACAACACAACGTTGTTAACAATTATTCAATATTCGAACATAAACTAATCCAATACATTTTAAAAAAATTAGCACATTTAGCATGATTAACTACCAAATCCTAATATTTCAACGTGCAATAAAAAAGTTTTTAACAAGTAGACACATACTAATTAAATTATCAACAAAACAGCAAAATCAATGATTCAACATTTTTCAAACAATATGTATCATTGTAAAACAAATATTTAAGCATATTATCAATTACTAGATTTCATCATAACAATAAATAATTCAACATGATTCTAAAATTTAAAAGTTTAACTCACTAACCGTGTTATCATTATGTGATGTAGTGATATCCAGAAGTCCGAACTTGACCAACTTCAAGAAATACATATAAGAAAAATATTTTTAGTAATACTAACTTAGTTTCAAAATATAAAAAACTGAAATTCAAGAACTTCATTCTAAAACTAATATTATAGCAAATCCATCCTAAATAATATGATAATTACAATATCATAAAATAATAAACTACTATAGAATCACTAAATATTCTTCAAAGTCTAAATTATTGTTAGTAAACATTAACTTAGTTTCAAAATAAAAAAAATGAAATTAAAGAACTTCATTCTACAAATAATATTATAACAAATCCTACTAAAAATATGGTAATTACAATATTCATAAAATAATAAGTTACAATAAAAACACTACATATTCTTAAAATATGGCAATTAAAAGTCTAAATTATTTTCAGGAAACATTAACTTAGTTTCAAAATATGAAAAATTAAAATTCAATAACTTCATTTTAAAAATAATATTAGAACAATTTCATCTAAACAATATGATAATTAAAATATTCTTAAAAATTAACACAGTTAGCATGATTAACTACCAAATACTAATATTTCAACATGCAATAAAAAGTTTTTAACAAATAGACACGTACTAATTAAATTATCAACAAAACAGCAAAATCAATAATTCAACATTTTTCAAACAATATGTTTCATTGTAAAACAAATATTTAAGCATATTATCAATTACTAGACTTCATCATAACAATAAATAATTCAACATAATTCTAAAATTTAAAAGTTTAACTCACTAACCGTGTTACTCATTATCTGATGTAGTGATATCCAGAAGTCCGAACTTGACCAACTTCAAGAAATACATATAAGAAAAATATTTTCAGTAATACTAACTTAGTTTCAAAATATAAAAAAATGAAATTCAAGAACTTCATTCTAAAACTAATATTATAGCAAATCCATCCGAAAAAATATGATAACTACAATATCATAAAATAATAAAATACAATAAAATCACTAAATATTCTTCAAAGTCTAAATTATTGTTAGTAAACATTAACTTAGTGATAGACCGTTAATTACACATGTTTTTACCCCTGTTCTTACACCGTTTGAGGTGTTGATTCTCGTGTTTTAGGCCGATTTCACGCTAGGTTGTGCTTGTTTGTGATATTTCAGGTCCTAGTACGTGAATGGAGGCTTGGGAGCGAGTTTGGGGTCGATTGGACGAAGATCGGACGCGTGGCGAGGTGCTAAGGAAGCCGCACGGGCATTCCTGGACATCACACGGCCGTGCAACTCACATTTGTGGCCGTGTGATTTTCGCCGAGAGCAAACACGGGCAGGATGGAAATCCCACACGGCCGTGCGACCCTGGCCGTGTGGGAAGCCTGAATTCCGACTTAATGATACGCCGCGTTTTGACTCACACGGGCAACTGGGTGAGCCACACGACCGTGTGGCCTGCCCGTGTGAGTCGGGAAATCTTGGTTTTTCAGCCAATTTCGAGCCACAAGTGAGAGATCAGACTTTTTGAGCAAAAACAGAGCCCTAGAGAGAGAAAGGACGAAGAACACATCCTAGAAGCTATCTTGGAGCTGGGTTTCATCAAATCGAGCTTGGAGATCGTCACAGGAGTGGAAATCATCATCCCAGAGCAGATTCTTCCCATTGTAATGAGTATGACTGCTTTGTACCTTGTTTTCCTCTCTCTCTCTATGGAGTAGAACCTCTCTCTCACTTGGGTATGAAGAACCCTAGTTCTATGTGTTAGGGATTGATTATAATGACTTGGGATGATATTATTGTTTGATTTTAATCGAATGATGCATGTTTATTGAGTCAATTGAAGACTGATCAACTTTTACTGATTCCTGCTGCAATCTGAGATAGATAGAATCTGAGTAGGTTGCTAGAGTCTCATCATTCGGTAGTAGGAGATTGGCTATACGAGAGTTAGCCAGTTTACTGCTTTGTACTGGAATCCAATTCCAGTAGTGGAGTTCTGTTCTTACTGCTTCAGCTTTCTATCATGGTGAAGACTAGTCGTCTGCCGGGTAGTTAGACTGAGAGGGCTTGGTCAGCTTAAGAGATTCCAAGCTACTGTCGGATCTTCCGCAGTCTAATCAACAGTAAATCAATCCAGGGAAATACAATTGAAACCTAACTAAGGAGCTAGGGGGACTCATTCCCGAGTGACTCTTACCTGCTTAAGTGTGGGGGGTGCTTTGTATCGGTTGGAATATATACTTGTGTGCTTGGAGCCTAGTCCGCTGTCCGAATCTTACGATTTGAGGGCTCCAAGTACTGCTGTTTGATCATATTGGCACTGTGTTTTGATTAATGAATTGAATGTTTTTCGAATTGATGCATGATAACTTGATCGTGACTAGGACAACCTATAATGAGGACTGAGACGTGCAGTAGAATTGTGTAGGGGTTCAATTCTTTCAACTGTTTGCTTACCAACTGTGACTTGATTTAATCACTTGTTCTTGACAGTCGTTTATGCATCTAGTTCAGGGTATCAGAATGTGAGATAGAGCATATAGGTAGCCATGTGAGATTTGAGCCTGCTCGTTTCTTTCTTGTGCGATAGATCCCTCTTCCATGATGTGTAGCATTCACGTTGTCACTAGCTAAGATGATGGGGGCATAGGATTAGCCCACGACCAAATTTGACTGTCCTGATGTGTCATATCCCCTAGTCAGCCTCTTTGAGCCGTGTGTTATCCTTTATTTTGGTCTATAATGAAAAATCACCCTTTTTGCATCTTTTAGAAGGTTCCGCAGAGTGGTTTTTACATATTCTTTGCTGTTTCTGCTAAATTTGATGTGAGTGTTGGAGGTAGTGCTTAAAAGTTGGGCAGGTGTTTGAAATATGTGCAGAAGTGGTGGCTCTCTTAAGAAATGAAAAGAAAATGAAAGAAAAACAAAGAAAAATTGGAAGCAAAAGAGAGCCACTACCAAAAATCTGAATAATGCCCATTAAGTAGTGTTTCTTAGTAGTCTGGCTTGGAAATGCTAACATTTATACCTCCTTCGCTTTTGTACTCTTGAGATATTGAGTAATGCAGAATAGCAGAAAGGAAATACTGGTTTGTTTGACTGTGATTGTGTGGGTTTGGAAATGTGGAACCTTGTGCTTTGAATACTTCCACCACCTAAAAGGCCTTTTCGCCGTGTCCAAGACCCTAGCCAGTCATTTGAACCTGTGTCTAAGACCTCCTGATTAGTCAGTGGTGACACCCCATATGTGAACTCTAGCACTTAGAGGCTGCCATCATGGTGAAGAGATGTTAGGGATTGAGAGATATAGCATGCGCATTTTTCGCATCAAATTGTCCCGACCCCACTGGTCGAGAGTGAGTGATTCATTTTCATATTCTATATACTCTTGTACCCCGGTGAGGACCTAGATTGCTCGGTCTCTATTCTGATGTCTTGAGTTGGATGTATGAGTTGACTGTTTTGAGTAAGTGGTTGAGTCAAGTCTAGGTTGGTTGGTGAACAGAAGGGAGACTCTTCCTTTACTCGATTTTGCTGCACTCGAATGTCCTTTGTGGTGGTTGTCCAGGTTGCTGTTGAGGTTGTTCATGTATTGATGTTTGAAAACCAGTACGATTCACGTGTTCTGTGCCTTTATGACTTGTCCCCAATGTTGGTTGATTGAAATATGTGAGCTTACCTTGTATCTGACTTGGTTTGCTTGGGGACAAGCAAACGGTTAAGTGTGGGGGAGTTTGATAGACCGTTAATTACACATGTTTTTACCCCTGTTCTTACACCGTTTGAGGTGTTGATTCTCGTGTTTTAGGCCGATTTCACGCTAGGTTGTGCTTGTTTGTGATATTTCAGGTTCTAGTACGTGAATGGAGGCTTGGGAGCGAGTTTGGGGTCGATTGGACGAAGATCGGACGCGTGGCGAGGTGCTAAGGAAGCCGCACGGGCATTCCTGGACATCATACGGCCGTGCAACTCACATTTGTGGCCGTGTGATTTTCGCCGAGAGCAAACACGGGCAGGATGGAAATCCCACATGGCCGTGCGACCCTGGCCATGTGGGAAGCCTGAATTTCGACTTAATGATACGCCGCGTTTTGACTCACACGGGCAACTGGGTGAGCCACACGACCGTGTGGCCTGCCCGTGTGAGTCGGGAAATCTTGGTTTTTCAGCCAATTTCGAGCCACAAGTGAGAGATCGGACTTTTTGAGCAAAAACAGAGCCACAAGTGAGAGATCGGACTTTTTGAGCAAAAACAGAGCCCTAGAGAGAGAAAGGACGAAGAACACATCCTAGAAGCTATCTTGGAGCTGGGTTTCATCAAATCGAGCTTGGAGATCGTCACAGGAGTGGAAATCATCATCCCAGAGCAGATTCTTCCCATTGTAATGAGTATGACTGCTTTGTACCTTGTTTTCCTCTCTCTCTCTATGGAGTAGAACCTCTCTCTCACTTGGGGATGAAGAACCCTAGTTCTAAGTGTTAGGGATTGATTGTAATGACTTGGGATGATATTATTGTTTGATTTTAATCGAATGATGCATGTTTATTGAGTCAATTGAAGACTGATCAACTTTTCCTGATTCCTGCTGCAATCTGAGATAGATAGAATCTGAGTAGGTTGCTAGAGTCTCATCATTTGGTAGTAGGAGATTGGCTATACGAGAGTTAGCCAGTTTACTGCTTTGTACTGGAATCCAATTCCAGTAGTGGAGTTCTGTTCTTACTGCTTCAGCTTTCTATCATGGTGAAGACTAGTCGTCTGCCGGGTAGTTAGACTGAGAGGGCTTGGTCAGCTTAAGAGATTCCAAGCTACTGTCGGATCTTCCGCAGTCTAATCAACAGTAAATCAATCCAGGGAAATACAATTGAAACCTAACTAAGGAGCTAGGTGGACTCATTCCCGAGTGACTCTTACCTGCTTAAGTGTGGGGGGTGCTTTGTATCGGTTGGAATATATACTTGTGTGCTTGGAGCCTAGTCCGCTGTCCGAATCTTACGATTTGAGGGCTCCAAGTACTGCTGTTTGATCATATTGGCACTGTGTTTTGATTAATGAATTGAATGGTTTTCGGATTGATGCATGATAGCTTGATCATGACTAGGACAACCTATGATGAGGACTGAGACGTGCAGTAGAATTGTGTAGGGGTTCAGTTCTTTCAACTGTTTGCTTACCAACTGTGACTTGATTTAATCACTTGTTCTTGACAGTCGTTTATGCATCTAGTTCAGGGTATCAGAATGTGAGATAGAGCATATAGGTAGCCATGTGAGATTTGAGCCTGCTCGTTTCTTTCTTGTGCGATAGATCCCTCTTCCATGATGTGTAGCATTCACGTTGTCACTAGCTAAGATGATGGGGGCATAGGATTAGCCCACGACCAAATTTGACTGTCCTGATGTGTCATGTCCCCTAGTCAGCCTCTTCGAGCCGTGTGTTATCCTTTCTTTTGGTCTATAATGAAAAATCACCCTTTTTGCATCTTTTAGAAGGTTCCACAGAGTGGTTTTTACATATTCTTTGCTGTTTCTGCTAAATTTGATGTGAGTGTTGGAGGTAGTGCTTAAAAGTTGGGCAGGTGTTTGAAATATGTGCAGAAGTGGTGGCTCTCTTAAGAAATGAAAAGAAAATGAAAGAAAAACAAAGAAAAATTGGAAGCAAAAGAGAGCCACTACCAAAAATCTGAATAATGCCCATTAAGTAGTGTTTCTTAGTAGTCTGGCTTAGAAATGCTAACATTTATACCTCCTTCGCTTTTATACTCTTGAGATATTGAGTAATGCAGAATAGCAGAAAGGAAATACTGGTTTGTTTGACTGTGATTGTGTGGGTTTGGAAATGTGGAACCTTGTGCTTTGAATACTTCCACCACCTAAAAGGCCTTTTCGCCGTGTCCAAGACCCTAGCCAGTCATTTGAACCTGTGTCTAAGACCTCCTGATTAGTTAGTGGTGACACCCCATATGTGAACTCTAGCACTTAGAGGCTGCCATCATGGTGAAGAGATGTTAGGGATTGAGAGATATAGCATGCGCATTTTTCGCATCAAATTGTCCCGACCCCACTGGTCGAGAGTGAGTGATTCATTTTCATATTCTATATACTCTTGTACCCCGGTGAGGACCTAGATTGCTCGGTCTCTATTCTGATGTCTTGAGTTGGATGTATGAGTTGACTGTTTTGAGTAAGTGGTTGAGTCAAGTCTAGGTTGGTTGGTGAACAGAAGGGAGACTCTTCCTTTACTCGATTTTGCTGCACTCGAATGTCCTTTGTGGTGGTTGTCCAGGTTGCTATTGAGGTTGTTCATGTATTGATGTTTGAAAACCAGTACGATTCACGTGTTCTGTGCCTTTATGACTTGTCCCCAATGTTGGTTGATTGAAATATGTGAGCTTACCTTGTATCTGACTTGGTTTGCTTGGGGACAAGCAAACGGTTAAGTGTGGGGGAGTTTGATAGACCGTTAATTACACATGTTTTTACCCCTGTTCTTACACCGTTTGAGGTGTTGATTCTCGTGTTTTAGGCCGATTTCACGCTAGGTTGTGCTTGTTTGTGATATTTCAGGTTCTAGTACGTGAATGGAGGCTTGGGAGCGAGTTTGGGGTCGATTGGACGAAGATCGGACGCGTGGCGAGGTGCTAAGGAAGCCGCACGGGCATTCCTGGACATCACACGGCCGTGCAACTCACATTTGTGGCCGTGTGATTTTCGCCGAGAGCAAACACGGGCAGGATGGAAATCCCACACGGCCGTGCGACCCTGGCCGTGTGGGAAGCCTGAATTTCGACTTAATGATACGCCGCGTTTTGACTCACACGGGCAACTGGGTGAGCCACACGACCGTGTGGCCTGCCCGTGTGAGTCGAGAAATCTTGGTTTTTCAGCCAATTTCGAGCCACAAATGAGAGATCGGACTTTTTGAGCAAAAACAGAGCCACAAGTGAGAGATCGGACTTTTTGAGCAAAAACAGAGCCCTAGAGAGAGAAAGGACGAAGAACACATCCTAGAAGCTATCTTGGAGCTGGGTTTCATCAAATCGAGCTTGGAGATCGTCACAGGAGTGGAAATCATCATCCCAGAGCAGATTCTTCCCATTGTAATGAGTATGACTGCTTTGTACCTTGTTTTCCTCTCTCTCTCTATGGAGTAGAACCTCTCTCTCACTTGGGGATGAAGAACCCTAGTTCTAAGTGTTAGGGATTGATTGTAATGACTTGGGATGATATTATTGTTTGATTTTAATCGAATGATGCATGTTTATTGAGTCAATTGAAGTCTGATCAACTTTTCCTGATTCCTGCTGCAATCTGAGATAGATAGAATCTGATTAGGTTGCTAGAGTCTCATCATTCGGTAGTAGGAGATTGGCTATACGAGAGTTAGCTAGTTTACTGCTTTGTACTGGAATCCAATTCCAGTAGTGGAGTTCTGTTCTTACTGCTTCAGCTTTCTATCCCGGTGAATACTAGTCGTCTGCCGGGTAGTTAGACTGAGAGGGCTTGGTCAGCTTAAGAGATTCCAAGCTATTGTCGGATCTTCGCAGTCTAATCAACAGTAAATCAACCCAGGGAAATACAATTGAAACCTAACTAAGGAGCTAGGGGGACTCATTCCCGAGTGACTCTTACCTGCTTGAGAAAACCGTATCAATTCCTGCTTTCCTTCTGCTTTTGCTTTTACACAACAAACACTTAACTTAGTTGGCTAGATAATAGAGAATCATTGAGTAAGCAGTAGATCTAGACCCCGGGTTGATAATATAACTTGTCACTTTACTGCATTCCCGGACTGCGATTATACTTGGTCGCAGTTTGGTGTTGTGTTTTAGAGCATCACTTAGTTTCAAAATAAAAAAAAAATGAAATTAAAGAACTTCATTCTACAAATAATATTATAACAAATTCTTCTAAAAATATGGTAATTACAATATTCATAAAATAATAAATTACAATTAAAACACTACATATTCTCAAAATATGGCAATTAAAAGTCTAAATTATTTTCAGAAAACATTAACTTAGTTTCAAAATATGAAAAATTAAAATTCAATAACTTCATTTTAATAATAATTTTAGAACAAATTCATCTAAACAATATGATAATTAATATATTCTTAAAATAATAAATTGCAATAAAAATCACTAAATATTCTTAAAAATCTAAATCATTCATCAATCTTTTATAAAAAAAATCTAAATTAATATATATTTGAAAAATCTAATATACTTCACAAATTTAAATTAACAGAAAATTAAAAATAAAATAAAAAACCGGCGACGTCCCGGCAGGACGATCGTCCTTCGCCGGCGACGTTCCGGCAGGACTTCCAGCCATCGCCGGCGACCTCCCGGCAGGACGTCCGGCCATCGCCGGTGACAGACGGCAAAATATGTCGTCGTCGGGTAATTTGCCGGCGTACCTCGTCGGAGAAAGGTGTCTGTCGTAGTCGGGTAATCTGTCGTTGTCGTCAGCGGAGGTGGCGGTCGCCGGCGGGAGGTGGCTATCGCTGGCGGCGAGTATTGTAGGATTATGTTTGGAGAAAGTGTTTGAATATTTTGGTCTTGGAATGTGTAAACTAAGGGATCGTTTGGAAGTTGTGATTGTTAGAGTTGTGTTTGTTGAATACATGTATTGTGCACAATACAAGGTTTGGAAGTGTCAAAGTGTTAAACAATGCATGCATTGTTTTAGGTAGGTCCCACCAACAATTACAAAAAATGATGCATTATATAATCTCAATTAAAAGTTGAGATTGTTGGCTTTAGATTTGTGTAACTTTTTATTTCCATTTATATCCCCAATAGTTTTTGTCTTATTCTAAAAGTTGAGAGTAAATGTGACATTTTCCCATAAAAGTAACTTTATGTAAATCAATGCATAAAGTAGAATCTCAACAACCAAACAAGATATTGTTAAAATGCATCCATTGTATCAATACATGCATTTATATTATGGTGATTCATTACAATGCAATGATTTAACATTTGCAACTTCCAAACGACCCCAAAATGTATTAAATGTGATGGGTATTATTGTACTTTTTATAATTTAGGGCTACAAATAAAGACAATTTAGGGCTACAAATAGTACGCCCCTTAGTAAAATACGGTCAGTGGATAAGCATTAGGATTAGTAAAATACGTATGAGTATGTTATTCCGTCTCTAAACTAATGATATGTGTAATAGTCGTTAATAGATATAACGTATATATAATTAATTATTTTAAAAATTAATTAATATATAAATAATATTTAAGTGGCGATTTAATTCATTAAATACATATATTAAACACGTAATACGGGGTGTATACATGGTGTCATCATGGAGATAAATAACTAAGTACTATACTTAGTTGACAACATGAGATCGAAAACACTTAAAAAAATTCACAATCAACTGCCAAATTTATTTCTAACTATAATTCTGAGATGAACTTCTGTCGTTTGTGACAAGGCATCTTTGAATGAGTATCGCAGATACTTGTAACTAAGAAAAGAAAAAGAGAAAAAGGACAAGAATATCCTCTCCAGCTGGCTGCATGGATGCGTCTCAATTCTTTATTATCAAGTAAAGTATTATTGTTAAATAACAATTAGCGCAGTTAGATGATCATCAGTGGACAATAGCTAATTAACAATCATCACATAATGATTTAAATATAATATACGGGTTAAGAGCATTTTGGTCCGTTACTATGTTAAGGTAATCAGAATTTTTGGTTAGAGTTTATATATTGTTATTTTCTATTTTGTCTGATTATCCATGAAATGAATTCATAAAAGTGTCGTCAGATTATTTGATCTTATTATGTTCCGACTTTAGTCCTCCAGTTCTTCTCCATTCGATTGGCGAATTTACGATTCTACCCTCAGGCCATATTCATGCATCCATGTACGGTTTCCAATCTTCTTATTAGTTTACTAGTACTTGGCCCGCGCTCCGCGGTGGGGTAAGTGTGATTCCAGTTGTTTTGTGTATTTTGTTATGTTCTTTCTGCTATACCATTCGCAAATAGTTTAGATTCATTGTGCGAGAGAGCGCAGAAATTAACAAACATATTAACAATCTTTGTGCACACCACACATATACATCTGCCATAGTTTTGTCTTCATTGAAAATAGGGAATAAAAACTTTAGTATCTGATGCCCTTGACGAAATTAAAAAACACAAACACATTTGCCATAGTTTTGTCTTCACTGAAAATAGGGAATAGAAACATCAGTTTAAAATGGAGAATTCTGGGGGTGGATGGGATACTTCGGTTGGCCTTTCTGTCAGTAGTGCTGATGGTCACTTATCTATCCTTGAGGTGTGCCAAAATGTCGCTACTCTTATTTGGGATACGACTGTTCTGGTTCTGTTCTTCAGATCTGAGGAACCGATGTAGAGCTCTCCTGCAAACATTATGCTACATCTTTTGACCAGCAACGCCTTGGCCGATTCTGCATCGAGTTTTTTGTATTTGCTGGGTGACATTCCTATTATTGATAGTGTAGCCTCGTGGTCCAGTATGGCATCAACACTATCATCTCCTTGCTTGCATTTGACTTCCAACTCATAGTGCAGCCTAGTCATAAGTATAAGTTCATAAACTTGTTGGCTTATTCGTAGATAGATTCATTCACATG